TGGGAGTTGAAGTCCACGAGTCATAAAAGAGCCAAGGTTGCCTATCCCTGCCATAGTCTATGTCAACAGGCTGCCTGGGAAATTCTGGGAGTTGAAGTCCACGTTGCCTTAAAGCTGCCAAGTATGAGAAATACTGATTTATATAATTGCTAATCGGGATGTTTAGGGGAAGGAAATGCAAAAACCATTTTCTTCTTCAGTATATGTCAGTGTCATGGTTCCGACAGATGAAACTCTTCAAAAGAACTTTGAGGCATTGTTTACCTTAAAGAATCTTTTATTCAAGAAGCATAATATCGGCACTGCATAATCAAAGCCAAAAACTGAATTCCCCTCCCCTGGGCGCATAGTATCAAAGCACAATTCCCTCCTCCAATTAACAGGCATAAATCACATTCCCCAATTAACTTGAAGTGTGGGCTTCCTCTCCAGTTCTCCAGCCCATCAATTCCTTATCAGCTCTGGTTACAATAACCTTGTTTCTCACCCTAGGTTTAGTGTTGTTATGTCTAGCTGAACTCTTGTTCACATATCCCCTCCCAGCATCATCTAACTCTAAAAGCAAAAGGTAAAAGATGACTACATTTCCATCTGTTGTCAATGCAAAAACATCCGATGTTAGCAGTGTTGACAGTCAGGTGCAAAGAATCAGGACCGTTCATAAGGTTGCAGAATACAGATAGTCCTCAATTTATGACCACAACTGAGCCCAGCATTTCTGTTGCTAAGCAAGTCAGTTGCTAAGTGAATTTTGTCTCATTTTACGACTGTACTTGTCAAAGTTGTTAAATGAATTGCTGCCTTTGTTAATGTAGTAACATAGTCATTAAATGAATCTGCCTTCCCCAGATTGTTTGCTTGCCAGAAGGTTGCAAAAAAGTGATCACATGACCCCGGGACACTGTGACCGTCATCATTACAAATCAGTTGCCAAGCATCTGAATTTTGATCACATGACCCTGGGGATGCTGCAACGGTTGTAGATGTGAAAAATGGTCAGAAGTCACTTTTTCAATCATCATAATGTTCAACGGTCACTAAAGGAACTGTTGTAAGTCGAAGACTACCTGTAGAAGGTTTATTCAGACCTATGCACAAGAATATGATCAACTAAAGTTCAACACTAAGTTACAGATAAGGGTCAACAGACTTCAGGAGGGGTTGGACTTCGAGCCCTTGTGGAAAAGCAATGACTCTAAACTGATGACGCATTGAACTCCACCCTCTGGCTCTTCTCCTACAGTGTGTACTTAACAGGGAGTTCCTATCCTCTTTCTACTGAAAGAAGCTATTGTTTGGACATTGATCTGACACCAAGATTTTAGTTTTATAACACTACACACCCAGATATGGTTTCAGATTCTCTCCTCTGTCACGTGAATGCAAATAAACTCCAGTGGGTTTTTCTCAATTTTGATCTGGATGTTGAGCCTCTAGAAAAAGTGCAGAGAAGAGCAATAAATATGAAAAATGGTTGCAGGAATTGGGTATGTCTAGTTTAATGAAAATAAGGACTGGGGGGGGGGATATGATAGCAGTGTTCCAATATTTCAGAGGCAGTCACAAAGAAGAGGAGGGGGTGTCAAACTATTCTGCAAAGCACCTCAAGGCAGGACAAGAAGCAATGGATGGAAACTAATCAAGGAGAGAACCAACTTAGAACTAAAGTTATCCCAAAGATGCTTTTTCATGAGGCAACTGGACTTTCTTTGAAGACGTTTCACTTTTCATCCAAGAAGCTTCTTCAGCTCTCACTGGATGGTGGGGAATGGAAAGATTTATACTCCTGCAGCCAGCTATTCATTTGCATTCTTTTAAGGAGTTGATGCTACCTGGAGGCTTAGCTGTGTCTTCAGGGTCACCTGAGTAGTGCAAATGGGTGTGGAGCCATCTTGGAACTGCTGAAAGGACTGTTTTGTAGGCTGGAGATAGATGATGACATATCTCTCCCCCTCTATTGAGAGACGGCTGCTCAATTTTGACATAGATGGCCTCTTTGACCCCTCTTTCAAACAAATGGTCTTCTCTGTCCAAGACTTTGCTGTCTTCGAAAGAATGTCTTTTAAATGCAGATGGACTGCTGAATGTTGTCCTGATGGGTTTGTTCTCCCATGTTTTTCCATGTGTTTATGAAGTGGTTGTTTTGTTTCCCCAATGTACAGATCTGCACATGGCTCACTGCATTGTACTGCATATACCACGTTGCTCAGTTTGTGTCTTGGACCTGGTATTTTATCGGTGGACAAGCTTCTGCCTTAGTGTATTCTTGGGTTTGAAGTGTGCATGTATGTTGTGTTGGCTGAAGATCCTCCTGAACTTTTCCAATAGTCCTGCAACATATGGAATGACAATGTTGCTTCATTTATTGTTTTCTTTGTCTGTTATGGAGCAGCTCCTGCTGACTCTTTTTGTGGATTTGATGAAGGCCCACTTGAGATAGCCACACATTCTAGGGCTTCCTTGATGTGAACCCTACACCACAGAGCTGAAGGCCTGCCAGCCAGCAAAGAAGAAAAAGAAATAAAACACAGGGGTCAATTTTGACATTGAACAGCCCTCTCTCAACAGAGGGGGAAAGATATGACATCATCTATCTCCAGTCTGCAACACAGCCCTTTCAGCAGTTCCAAGAAGGCTCCACACCCATTTGAACCACTCTGGTGACCCTGAAGACACAGATAAGCCTCCAGGTAGCATTAACAACTAGGTAAAAGAATGCAAATGAATAGCTGTCTGCAGGAGTATAAATCTTTCCATTCCCCACCATCCAGTCAGAGATGAAGAAGCTTCTTGGATGAGAAGCAAAACGTCTTCAAAGGAAAAACAAGTAAGTCCAGTTGCCTCATGAAAAAGTATCTTTGGAATAACTATGACCCAGATGACTGAGAATCACCATAATGACTTAAAACTAAAGATAAATTTCAGGGCAATTAGAACAATTGATCAGTGGAACGACTTGCCTCAGGAAATTGTGACTCTGACACTGGAGGCTTTTAAGACGAGATTGGGCAGAGGTTTATCTGAAATGGTATAGGATTTCCTGCTTGAGCAGAGGGTTGGACTAGAAGACCTCCAAGGTCCCTTCCAACTCTGTCATTCTGTTACATATATTACTTACAGTCTTTAGTCTCCTTTATTTTAATATAAAACTCTTTTTCCAATTAACTCCTGTTCCCATTCTTTCTGATTCTTCCTTGCCATATCAAATCTTTCCATTCACAAATATAGAGTTGCATTTAACTATTTTTGCATTAGCGTTTCTTTCTCTTTCTTCCTCCCAAACTGGCTTGCTTAGCAATGCTTGAAACATACTTGAAAGGAAATCCATAAGTATGAATCTTTACTGTGTAAAAATACTCAATTCCATTTTCCAATCTTTCTGCACATAAAGACAGTCACTCTACTCTACTGCTCTACTCTCTAGGAGAGGAGGAGGAGGAGGAGGAGGAGGAGGAGGAGGAGGAGGAGGAGGAGGAGGAGGAGGAGGAGGAGAAGAAGAAGAAGAAGAAGAAGAAGAAGAAGAAGAAGAAGAAGAAGAAGAAGAAGAAGAAGACGAAGAAGAAGAAGAAGAAGAAGAAGAAGAAGAAGAAGAAGAAGAAGAAGAAGAAGAAGAAGAAGAAGAAGAAGAAGAAGAAGAAGAAGAAGAAGAAGAAGAAGAAGAAGAAGTAGTAGTAGTAGTCTAGGAAATAGGGGGTGGGAATCCTGAGAAAAAGTGCTTAATCAAAACTAAAACTGTTTTAAAATCCATCTAATTTCCACTTCTATCTGCATCTCATATCATCATTCCATCTCTATCTTGCTTTGGCTATGAGAGCCATGGGTGGTGTGGTATGTGAGAAAGACCTTGGGAGACCAGCCAAAGAGATCCTGTCAAGAGAATGGTCAGATAGGGACAGTTTAGCCCACAGCTGAGCAGTGGGCAGGGCAAGAGACTCAGAAGAGACCTTACCTCATTTCTCAGGCGGTAAAGGTACTGCATCCAGTTTTGGTCACCACGATGTAAAAAAGATGTTGAGACTCTAGAAAGAGTACAGAGAAGAGCAACAAAGATGATTAGGGGACTGGAGGCTAAAACATATAAGGAACGGTTGCTAGAATTGGGTATGTCTAGTTTAACGAAGAGAAGGACAAGGGGGGACATGATAGCAGTATTCCAATATCTCAGGGGCTGCCATAAAGAAGAGGGAATTAAGCTATTTTCCAAAGCACCTGAAGGCAGGACAAGAAGCAACGGGTGGAAACTAATCAAGGAGAGAAGCAACCTAGAACTAAGGAGAAACTTCCTGACAGTGAGAACAATTAATCAGTGGAACAGCTTGCCTCCAGAAGCAGTAAATGCTCCAACACTGGAAGTTTTTAAGAAGAGACTGGACAGCCATTTGTCCGAAATGGTGTAGGGTTTCCTGCCCGAGCAGGGGGTTGGACTAGATGACCTCCAAGGTCCCTTCCAACTTTACTACTATTATTATAAAGTATACTGGTTTATCCTGCAAGGCCAAGATCAATCTTGCAAGTCTGACAGTACGACTTTCTTTCCACCTCCTTTACAGCCCCTGAAACGAGGGACAGTCACTTCTTGCCTCACCCATTATCCACTTGTGGGTTCTGCTGTCCCTTATCTGACTGTTCTCTTAGCTGCCTCTTTTTGCCTAGTGACTTTCCCACATATCATTTTAGGGGGTTAAGCTACAGGTAGTCCTCGACTTACAACAGTTCATTAGTGACCATTCAAAGTTACAACGGCATTGAAAAAACTGACTTCTGACCGTTTTTCATAGTTACGACCATTGCAGCATCTCCATGATCTTGTGATCAAAATTCAGATGTTGGGCAATTGGTTCATATTTATGACCTTTGCTGTGTCCCAAGGTCATGCGATCACCTTTTATGACTTTCTGACAAGCAAAGTCAATGGGAAAGTCAGATTCACTTAACAACCGGGTTACTCACTTATCAACTGCTGTGATTCTGTGGCAAGAAAGGTCACAGAAAGGGGCAAAAGTCACTTAACAAATGTCTCACTTGACAACAGAAAATTTGGGCTCCATTGTAGTCGTAAGTCAAGGACTACCTGTACTGGACTAAGAGTGGAGAGACCCAGGGAGCCAGTGGGGGCGACTTGGATTTAGTCATTCTCTCTCTCTCTCTCTGCTCCAACCTGGGAATTCAGAAAACATCCATGCCCCCAACCCACACAAGGCAGCCTGGCAGATTGTGGTCCTTGATGTTCACAGAAGAGGTTCTTCATCCGGCAGTGAATTGATTCGGGCTGATGATAATAATATGTTTCAAAGCATTAAAATTATATCCTTTTCTTCTGGGCAAGGCAGGAACAATAACCCAGCTGTATTATTAGCAATGCTGGAAATGAACACTGAAGATAAAGCATAATGGAAAGCCAGACCCAGCTCCCATTCACGGCATTAAAGAAAGAAAATTCAATTTGCATGAAAGACGGCTCCCACAAGCAGCCAATTCACATTTGCAAAGAAGACAGATCTTCAGGGAAAATACGGTAGCTGTGCCCTCGGACCCAGCCCCTTATCGGGTAATAACAAAGCCTATAATGCCCACCTTTAACCTTCTATCTTTCCTTTGCAGGGTCTGCTGCTGTTACTTCAGCTTGGCCAACATGGTAAGTTGTACTAAATTAAAATGCTACTTCTCAAGGTCTAGGGCAGTCTTTCTCAACCTGGCAACATTAAGATGTGTAGACTTCAACTCCCAGAATCCCTCAGCCAGCATACTGGCTGGGTGAATACTAGGAATTAGGGGTCCCTGGTGTTCTCTGAGCTTGCAGATGTTTTATTAACCAAGTAAGTAATATCATCAGTGCTACGGTAGAAGAGAGTGGAATTTGCATTGATGATATTACCTAGTTGGGCAATGAAATGTCTGCAAGCAAACAAGCAAGCTCAAAGAGGACAAGGGACCCCACAGTTCAACCGTGAGGTGCAAATATTCTCTACAATTTGAGGAATTGAAGTCCTTCCATCTTAAAGTTGCAAGGTTTCCATGTCTTGCTTGTTTTGTTTCTTAGCTTCTCCTCAAACACAAACCTACAACAAGGAGGCTTCTTTGCCTTTTCAAAAGAGCTAGCAAACTAGTTCTACAGGTGCAGCTTTCCTCAACATAGTCCAAGCCCCCATTTTAGGGAGGGTTTAGGGCAGGGGTAAGCAACCTTGGCTCTTTTATGTCTCATGGACTTCAATTCTCAGTATTCCTGAGCCAGCATGCCTAGCTGAAGAATTCTGGGAGTTGAAGTCCACGAGTCATAAAAGAGCCAAGGTTTGCCTACCCCTGGTTTAGGGAGTCTATTTTGAAGAGATTCTGGTTGTTTAAAAAGCTCTGGGGACAACTACAATCCTAGTTTCTCTGCTTCGGCTCATACATGCACCCCCCCCACACACTACACAGATAGACCTTTTTTCCAGACCCTTTCAAAATATATCAGCCAGTGGAACCTTGCCACGTGTGCAAGGACTGTTGCAGGTAGAGATGTGAGGTAGGAGAAACATGAGCCGGTTCTTTATTTTACTGGGGCTATAAATCACTCCAATCAAGAATTATTCAGACCAGCCTCCTTCTCCAGTCCCATTTGCCATCTCATAAAAAAGCTTATCCATCACAGTTGTCAATTAGGAAAAAAAAGCTTCATTTGCTACTTGCATGTTCACCCTGAATAAGGAAAAGAATGAGTTTAACAGGAAGAAGTAGAGAAGCCACTGCAAACTCCTTTCTCTTCCCTGATATTCTGAATATCGCATTATTTAATTAATTAATTGGCCACCCATCTTACAGCAGGGTAATTCTGAGCGGTTTACAATACTAAAAAAATAAATATACATATACACTAAAAAAAACAAAAATAAATTAATACAAGCAAAAACTATGATCCAATTACTGTGCAGAGGGGGCAAGAACATGGATAGACATGTCCAGATTGATCCCAAGGAAAAATAGGTTTTCCAATTTAATACTTCCCTGTTATCTGAAGTACTAATCTTCCTCTTTCATGTAGTGGTTATTGTTGTGTTTTCCGTTTGTTGGCAATTGACGAAGACACATGGTGAAAACAACAAGCTCTTTATTATACTTCTCCTACAACCAAGCAAACAGCAAAAGGCACGCAGGCCTTTTATAGTGCCTGAAATCCTGACAGTGTGAACCAATAGGAATTGACCATTTTCGCGCCTTACGCATGCGCGCAAGGCTGGCGCCATTCTGTCTGGTCCCGGGCAGCTTTTGGATTGCCCGGGACCAATTGCAACAATTCTGAACCTGGTTTCAGCTCTTGCAGGCTCAGGACACAACACCCCTCCCCCCTAGATGAAAAACACCTAGCTTACGTACAGGTGCATCATGCAATGCAGGGAGAGTGGAACACAGATGCATTATCCAAATGCATGGAGGGTGGAAATGCTCGGATCTGCACGCAGGCAGACACCTTTCAAAATAATTATTTAACTCAGATAAAATATATCCAAAATCAAAATAGTATATGAGACTCTCTCTGAGTGTTACCCCCCCTCATTCAGGACCTCATAGCAAGGTTCCTTATGTGTTGACCGGAACCTCACATAATCTCCTAGATGTTTAGGTAGGCACTTTGCCCACTGCGACCTTCTAGGGGCCAGTGAGGGTGTCTGGCCTACCTACTCGCCTACCAGGCTAGGCAGGCCAGGACTTTGATGCCCTGAATATCCAGGTGACCCACCCAGCTGCTGACTGGCTGGACCCTCTGAGTCCAAGCCAGTATACCTTGGGGGGGGGGGGGTGGAAGTCCCCGAGTCCACAATGGACTCTCTTGGGAACACTGTCCCTGGAACCCAAAGCCAGCAGATGGAGAGGCCTAAGTGGCGGAAGTGCCCCAATACTCTGTAGCCCCCGAGCATGTGCCAGAGGTGTCAGAGTCAGGAGCCACCTCCATGACAAACCCCTTTGCTACTGGCTTCCTTTTCTGAGCAATTGCTGAATTATGAGAGTGCCCCTGTTGGAATTCCCTTTCTCTGGCCGTGTGTGATACCCCCGATCTGTCTCCCTGTCTGGAGCAATAACGGATGTGTGGGATGACCCCCTTTCCTGGGAATTCCTGCTTGGAGCACTTGCGGAGTCCTGGGATGACCCCCAAACAGCCTCAGCAGCTTGTGACGCCCTGTTAGGCCTGGGAACCTGTGACCCAGTATGCATATTATGGTCCTCCCCCCCCCCAGAGCAGAGCCAGGAGTGGAAACGTGGCTGTCCAGTCTCCAACGCAGTTGGTCTATGTGCCTACAAAGAACACAGCCATCCTCCAAGGCAACTTCGTATGACAACGGCCCAGAGACCTTGCAGACCACAGCTGTGACTCAGAGATGTCCAGGCCCATAGTTCCGTGCCCAAACCGGATTGCCCACCAGAAGTCTCCTAGGTGCCCGTGGTTGTGATATCTGTGAAGCCATCCGGTCTGGGTGCAACCTCTCCAGTTTGGTGATGAGGCAGCGACCCCAGCAGAGTTCTGCAGGGCTCTTCCCTGTGGCTGTGCAAGGTGTGGTGCGGTGTGCAAGAAGGAAATCTGCTAACCTGTGATGCCAGTTACCGTAAGTCAGTTTCTTGAGAGCATCCTTGGTAGTGTGCACCATTCTCTCTGCCTGTCCATTGGAGGATGGGTGGAAGGAAGCAGAAGTCGCATGCTGGATCAGATTAGCCTGAAGAAAAGCCTGGAACTCAAAAGAGATAAATTGAGGGCCATTATCTGAAACCAGGACATCTGGAAGCCCGTGCGATGCAAAAATTCTTCTCAACACCTGGATGGTCCTGGCAGTAGTAGTGGAGGAAACAGGAACAACCTCTAGTCACTTGGAATGGCTGTCAACGATGATAAGGAAGAATTGCCCCTGAAAAGGCACAGCATAATTTATATGCACCCATGACCATGGGGTTTGAGTTTCCTCCCACCTATGTACTGGGGCCTGAGGCATTTCAGGCTGTGACTGTTGGCACACTTGGCACCCGTGCACCTGAGCCTCGATGGCGTTATCGAGTCCAGGCCACCAAAGATGGCTGCGTGCAAGCGCTTTCATCCTTACTATACCAGGATGTCTCTCATGCAGAGAGAGCAAGATTCTAGACCTCAATGAGACTGGGATTACTACCCTACTACCCCATAACAGGCACCCCTTGAAAGTGAAAAGTTCATGCTTCTTGTGCCAGAAGCTTTGGAACTCAGTATCTGGGCACGTGTCAGGCCATCCTGACAACCCCAGGTCAGCATGCATGTGAGCGTGTGATCAGTAGCAGTTTTTGCAGCCACGTCCCTAGCATTTAGGGGAGATTCGGGTAACTCCTGAATGGAAAGAATATTAATAGCAGGGGCAGGATCTGCCTCTATCTGTTTAAGAGGTAGTCTGCTTAGGTCACCTGCATGTCCCATCTCTTTTCCAGGTTTGTGAATTAGAGTGTAGTCATATGCTGACAGGAAAATGGACCATCTCAGCATACTTGGGGAAATAATATGTGGTGTCTATTTGTTAGTGGTAAACAAACCCAGCAGAGGCTTATGGTCTGTGTAGACCGTGAAGTGGCGGACATATAAGAAATCATGGAATTTCTTTATGCCAACCACTATGGCCAAGGCTTCTCTGTCAATCTGAGCGTAATTCCGCTCTGCAGATGACAGAGTCCTTGAGTAGTAGGCCACAGGGACTTGTGTCACATCAGCCTTCAGATGACTAAGTACTGCTCCCACCCCATAAGGAGATGCATCGCATGCGATGCAAACAGGCAGTTGCTCATTGAAATGCACTAAAACAGCATTTGAAGCGAGCAAGGCCTTAACCTCATTAAAACTGCTGTCATGGATTTTAGTCCACTGCCATGGAGCTTGCTTGTCTAAGAGCTGGTGTAATGGCTCAGCCACTGCAGCCTTATGTGGAAGGAATGCATGATAAAAATTTAAAAGCCCCAAGAAAGCTTGCAGCTCACTTTTGGACTTGGGCCTTGGGGCCTGCTGAATCACTTGAAGCTTGGATTCAGCAGGGTGAATGCCTTGGGCATCAATCCTGAACCCTAAGAAGTCAGTGGAAGTGACTCCTATCTTCCATTTATCCTGCTTCAATTTAAGGCCTGCTTTGCGAAAACGAAGGAAGACAGCCCTTAACCTTTCTGCTAAATTTTGAGATGACTGCCCAGCAATAAGGACATCATCGAAGTAGGGACAGACCCCAGGAATACTACAAAGTGTGTTCTCCATGACACTTTGGAATATGCCAGGGGCTACATTTACCCCAAATTGCAGTCTTTTGACCTTGAAGGCCCCCCTATGAGTTACAATCGTCTGGGCCTCTGCAGATGCCTCATCAACAGGTAACTGTTGATAGGCCTGTGCCAGGTCAAGTTTCGCAAAAATGCACCCCCCCTTGAGGGAGGCCAGAATGTGGCTTACAACTGGCACTGGATATGCATGCTGTTGCAACGCTTTATTCAGTGTGCACTTATAGTCTGCACTATACAGACTTCCCCATTAGCCTTTAGAGGCGTTACTATGGGGTTTTCCCATGGACTAGAATCTACAGGTTCTAAAATGCCCTGCTGGAGCAATTTGTCCAGCTCAGCATCTATCTTACTTTTGAGGGCAAAAGACACCTTTCTAGGCTTGACCCTAATGGGCGTGATAGTTGGGTCTAACTGTAGTGCAATGGGAGGCCCCTTGTAGGTTCCTAGCTCTGAACTAAACACATCCGCAAACTCCTTGCAAACCTCTGCAAGGCCCAATATTTGCAAGCCGTGCAGCCCAGTTACTTGGATTCCCAGAGCCTCGAACCAATCGAGTCCAATAAGACTCGTACGTTCACCCCCAACTATCACCACATCCAGGAAACCTTCAAAATCCTTACACTGTACCTTGAGCATGGCCTCCCCTTTTATACAGACCTTAGAATTTTGAAAATCAGTGAGTATTAGATTCGATGGCCTGAGTTTAACTCGAAGGCCATTACTGCTGCAAATCCTTTTATAGGTGTCCATTGAAATAATTGATAGAGCGGACCCTGTGTCCAGCTCCATCAATAATGGAACCCCTTGCAACTTCACATTAATGCAAAGTTTTTTCTTAAGGGGCTTGTGTGTCCCTGTCCTTAGAATACTCCTGCACAATGTGTAGAAACCCATCCTGTGTTGGCTGGGGACCCTGGTACCTTTCTGAAGCAATTCTTCCCAAAGTTGGACCTTCTGGCTACCCAAACAGATGGAGGCAATGTGGCCTTGCCTACCACACGCCCGGCAAATAGTGGAGCAAAACCTGCAGTCAGCTCGCTTGTGGCATCCTCCACACCTGAAGCACTGAAGAGATGCTGGGGTCTTGTCTGGATGCCCCTTCGACCTTCTTTCTGCTGGCTGATGCAATCTGTCCACCTCCTCTTCAGGATCTGCTTCGGATTCTTCTCGAGCGTCCTCTTGATGGACAGTAGTGGTGGCTGAAGGGTTCCTGGCAAGCTGCAAAGCCTTCACAGTGCCGCCTGCTGCTTCTTCAGCTGCCACCCCTCTTAACGCGTCTTGGAAGGAGACATCCTCTTTTGCAAAGATCTTTTGTTGTAGGTCTCTGCTTCTTAAGCCACACACAAAGCGATCGCGCAGCTTCTCTTCCAGATCCTTGAACTCACAAGGCCTGGCCGCTTGTCTTAAGGCAACAATAAAGTCTGCAGCAGATTCACCCGGCCTCTGGTCTCTCTGCTCGAACGCGTGCCTCCGAGAGATAACAGATAATTTTGGCTGGAAATGTTCCTTCAACATCTTCTTCAAGTCAGCATACGATACTGACTCCAGAAGTGCAGGGGCCACCAGATTTTCCACGATGTCAAAAGCTTCCTGTCCACAGGCACACAAAAGAGTTGCTGCCTTCAGGCCGTCTTCTCTTATTTGATTTACTCTAAGGTAGTTCTCCACCCGTGCTACATATGAATTCCATCTCTCTGGGTGGGAGACATCAAAATCAGTCAAACGGCCAATCTTCAACATCGTCAGCTTGACGATCTTCGCTAATTGCCTCCTATGCAAGCCAAGATTTGGGAAAGGGTCCTTTTGCCGAGCTCACCTCCAGTGACGCTGTACTGGCAGGCTGAATCGCGAATGCAGGACGCCATCTTCCCGATCGTCAGGACTTCCTTGGTGAGTCACAATCCTTTGCCTTGCTTGCAGGGATCCCACCTTCGTTGCCAGTGTTGTATTTTCCGTTTGTTGGCAATTGACGAAGACCCGTGGTGAAAACAACAAGCTCTTTATTACTCTTCTCCTACAACCAAGCAAACAGCAAAAGGCACGCAGGCCTTTTATAGTGCCTGAAATCCTGATAGTGTGAACCAATAGGAATTGACCATTTTCTCGCCTTGCACATGCGCACAAGGCTGGCGCTCTTCTGTCTGGTCCCGGGCAGCTTTTGGATTGCCCGGCACCAATTGCAACAATTCTGAGCCTGCTTTCAGCTCTTGCAGGCTCAGGACACAACAGTTATGATGTTGGCCTAGAAACCAGGAGACTGTGAGTTTTAGTCCCGTTTTAGGACTCAGTTAGACTGAAGCAATGCAGAGGTCACAGTAATATATTAATAAAATCATATCACTGAATAGTACCCAAAATTCAGTCAGGATGAAAAATATTTTTTTTAAAAAAACAAGAAGGATTGATGGAATAGATCAGACATGTCAAATACAAGGCCCGGGGGCTGGATGTGGCCCGCAAAGTGGCTTCATATGGCCCGCGAAGCCATCCTGGAAACAGTGAGGGAACGGCCCACTCTGCCTTGGCTCTGGCCCAGGCCGGCTAGGAGCCAATGTACAATTTTGTGATGGCCATCTATGCTGAAACGCATTCAGTCTTAGCTCCATAAGCCCCCCCCCCCGCATGGCCTAAGAGGAACAATGAGGCTCCTCCAGTAGACCATGCCTTGGCACTTGCACTGGTCCCACCCCCTTCTGCCAGAGACCCTCAGATCTATCCCACTCTTGCCTAGGCCCCCACAGGCACCCTTGATGCGAACAATGTAGAGCTGGCCACACCCACCCAGTAGGCCACACCCACTCTATCCACGCCCACCCAGTAGGCCGCACCCACCCTGGCCACACCCAACCAGCCCCCTGAGGGCAACTGCAATGCTGATGCGGCCCTCAATGAAATTGAGTTTGACACCCTTGGAATAGACCTCCAAAGGCTTTGATCTGGAAGGTTATGAATGTTGAAATTTAACAAAACGCTGAAGATTAAGAGCAGCAGGTTAATGAATACTCCTCTCTGAGAACAGAAAAGAGACATAGGTTGCCTCTTTCATCAAGGTTTTTGGTCCTTTCAGTTTGATCCCATAAGCTGAATCAAAACCCTTTGTGTTGGTGTGAACTAAGAAGTCTTTTGTTTAATCTTTTTGTTTGATGCACACAACAAAGCTTCAAAGAGATTCCACATATAGAACAGTTTAACTATTTCTCTCTGGGTTTTTTCCCCCCTCCTCTCTCAGAAGGACAAAATAAACAAATCCCAGCTCATCAGCAACCCCTGAAAAGTATTGGTAAGTAAACGAAGGCCCTTTAGAAGATTAGGAATCTTCCCAAATAAAGGTTGAACAAGATGTGTAATTTAACACAGGAGATGTGTTATTAGCATTTATGGAAAAAATGTCAGAGATTGGACTTTTAGCAATGCTTCCACTTTCTACGTGGGAACATTTGATCTTGTCCTATATCAAGTTAGACCAGTGGTTCTCAACCCGTGGGTCGGGACCCCATTTGGCGTCAAATGACCATTTCACGGGGGTCGCCAAACAATGCAGTCCGCCATTTTTTCCCCTTTTCCTTAGCTGTGCTACTCCCTTTTATTCTATTGGCTTTTGAAAGCCAGTAGAATAGACTCTCTTAAATAGAGTCTAATTTTATTGGCTTTCAAAAGCCAATAGGAATTGTCCAGGCTGTCTCTGCCCTGCTGAGCCCGCCAAAAGTCCCATTCTGCAAACGGTGCTGCAAGTTGTCTGCAGCGAAGGCGAGCTGTCTGGAAGTTTCCACCCCTCCCTGCTGAGCAACTACTAAAAATGTAAGTAAAAGAGGGCCAGGGGTGGGAGGTGGGAGGCCAGCGGGCGCAGGGAGGGTTGCTGGCACACATTGGGCCCGGCGGGTGCCTTACCTCCCTTGGGCTGGGCCAGCTGATGGCCCAGCCAGTGGTTGGCCTGCGGCGTCTCTGCCGCTTGCCAGCTACGCCTCAGCCGGCACAGGGGGCAGCACCACGCATGCGCGGCGCTCCCAGGCAGGGAAAGTCCTCGACTTACGACCGGTTGGGTAGTCCTCAACTTATGACCAGTTGGGGGTCGTGGCATTAAAAAGGTTGAGAACCACTGAGTTAGACCATGGATTTTTGTAACTCAGCACTGTTTACCAAAATGTAGTGCTCTCCAGATATTTAAATTTGCAGGTCCTGGGATCCATTTCTTTTACTTGCTAGAAAACCTGGTAGGTTTGGGTACTGGTTGGGGAAGGATCCTCTGCACCTGAGCTGGTCTTTAGGATTTCAGAACCCCTAGAAATGCCAGGAATTGAACCTTAGTCTTTCTACATGCAAGGTGTGAGCTTTGCCTCTGAACCACTGTTCTCTTGGCAGCTGTTGACCCACACATCCGGAAGCTGTTGTTGTCTCTTTCACTAAGAAAAGTATAGATGTCACACCTGCCACAATTTAAAAACCTAATTAGAAAGAATCCTTGGCTTCATTTGTTGAGAAAGGATAGTTTGATTATGAGTCAAATGTATTGCAGTAATGTATAGCCAGAACTGAGAATCGTGCGCCAAAATCCCTAAGTTCAACTTTTCCCTCCCATAACTGATTCCCATCACTGACAACCCCCCCCCCGCCACCACTAATGACCAATCAGGTTCAAGCAAGATGTTTTCAGTGCGGTCAGTTCAAGATAAGATAAGACAAGATATCCTTTATTTTCATTTTTTTTACTGTGGGCACAACGGCACACATCAAAAATGAAATTTAGTTGCCCGCTCTCAAAGTGAAACACATACATGACACACACCTAAACATATTATGTACAACATATGCATAGACCCCCATCCCTACATATTCATAACAATAAATATTAAATACTGTCCATCTTGAATATATAACGGAAGGAGGAAGCTTGAGAGTTCACAAGGTTAATGCTGTATGGAATGAAACTCTGGCTGAATCTGGATGTTCTGCTAAGGATACCACGAAACCTCCTCCCAGAAGGTAACAAGGAGAACAGGTCATGAAGAGGATGCATAGTGTCCCAGATGATCTTACGGATTCTGCTCAAACAATGCTTCTGTGCTATGTCCTGTGCTATAGGAGGGAGGGAGCTGCCAATGATCTTTTCGGCCATCCTTACCACTGCATAGGTTGGTATGCAGTTGGACTGTTCTGTCTTGTCCTATATCACGTTAGACCAAACCTTTGATTTCTGGGCTGTTATCAGTGTGAACCAGAGAGCTGGTTTGGGCTCCTTCTTTTGTAACTACGTAAGACTAACTCTTTCGTTTCTGCTCTTACAGATTGCTGCCGAGATCCTGGTCATGTTGAAGGCAAATTTGTGGTCCTCTATTGTCCTTTAATTCAGGGAGGATTGGAGATAAGAGAATGGGATGCAGATTGTCTCAACACTACAAATCCACCTTCAGGATGCCAAAGGGATGAGTTTGAGGCGAACATTTGTGATTTTCTACTCAACTGCTCCACTTCCACCTGTGCAAGTAAGGCCAAAGGTCCACACAGGTCTGTGTTCTCTGCTGGAGAAAACCCAGATGCCACAAGTAGAGAACCATGTGCTGCATAAGTAATGGAGACCACCTTGGCTCCTGAAAATGTTCCTCTATTTCCAAGATACAAGCAGTTGCAATACTGTATGGGCTTCTGTGAACAAGCTTTGGACAGTTTGGTGTGGGAGTGGATAGTAGCAAAGGAGAGAGAAAATCCTCTCTTAAAAGTTTCCCCAAATCCCCAGGGTCAACATATGTGGGATTAATAGTAAGAAACCAAAGATGAGCCTTGGGTCAGGGGTCAGCATCACTAAAAACCTGGCTAAGTGTTTCTTCCTGGTTCTCATGACACTCTATTTTTTTTCTAGCTGTCCCTGTTTGGTCAACTACAGGTACTCCTTGACTTAGGAGTACAACTGAGCCCAAAATTTAGATTGCTGAGTGAGACAATTGCTGAGTTTTGTCCCATTTTGCAATCTTTTTTTTCTACAATCGTTAAGTGAATCGCTGCAGTTGTTAAGTTAGGATCAGTATTGTTAAGTGAATCCAGCTTCCCCATTGATTTTGCTTCTTTGAAGGTCGCAAAAGGAGACACTGCAACCATCATGAATATGAGCCAGTTTCCAAGTGTCTGAATTTTGGGCACGTGACCCTGGGGATGCTGCAGCAGTTGGAAGTGTGAAAAATGATCATAAGTCACTTTTATCAGCGCCATTGTAACTTCAAACGGTGACCAAACGCAATGTTGTAAGTCGAGGACTACCTGTACTGCCTCACATTGACATGTACTAGTTCAAAGGGGACACTTCTTCATCCTTGAGAACTTATCTTTTTTTTAAATAATTTTTTATTTTCCCAAACTCTCCCCCATACATATACCGTGATATTTATCAGATGTTAACATACATTCTTTTTACATTCATATATAAGATACTTTTGATAAAATGAAATAAATACATACACATGACTTTTGGTGTTGCTCGCCCATTTCCCCTTTCACTGTATCCACACTCCTTCTTCTCTATCTTCTTTCTCCCTTTCTTCTCTTCCCTACTTCCCTCTTCTTCCTCTTCCTTGAGAACTTATCATAGACACTCAAAGGTAGCTGCCACCCATGGGGAAACCTTGCTTGTGCCATGAATGGCTGCCATTAGGAACATACCAGCAAAACAGAGGCCTGCCTCTTTTTGTGTTTGGGAAAGTGGACACATTTCCAAGCAAAGCAGCTCCCCGTCTTTTCCTGGGCAGGGACAACCCTGATAAATTCATAGAAATAAAGACAGTGTTAGAAGCTTATTATTGTGGTTGGTCGCACAGTCAGCCAGATGTTTAGCCTAGCTTTGGCATTTTTGTCCATCTATCGAGTCTTTCCTAAGGACCTGAGACAGGCAGATGTTGTGGTTTAATAATATCAAATGTATCATCACAAGATGGAAGCTGTTCCAAGGAAAGCTGCCTTTTGCAATCACTGATGGTGATTTTGTCAATACTGAGGATGTTCAAGTGATGCTCCAGATGTTTAGAGATTGCTCCCAAGGTATTTTATTTCTTGGGTTTTATCTTTGTATTCTTTTGCCTCAATTGTTACATTTGTAGTCCTTGATATTTGGTTATTTTCTTGAGTTCTTTCTCTTGTATTCTACTGTCTGCAGGTACTGTACTATCCAGATTGTTTTGTCTTTCTTCTCAACAGTTGTTAAGTCTGGAGTGTTGTGTGGCAGATGGTTGTCTGTTTGAATTCTAATGTCCCAGTGCATTTTCGTTTCTTCATTTCTCTTTGTGTATTTTGTGATCTCACCAGTTCTTGCTGGCAGGCAAATTTCTTGCAGATATTCCAATACACCATTGTTGCTACTTTGCCAAATTGTTGTAATCAATCAAATTGTTGTAATCAATCTGCATGATCATCTTGCATTATATTATATTATATTATATAATAATAATAATAATAATAATAATAATAATAATAATAATAATAATAATAATAATAATATAGGAAGTTAGGTAGAGCTGGAAGCCTGGTGGGACAAAGGAAATGTTGTGAGATGCACTGATTCCCTGGAACACCAGCTTGATGAACTCAGAGCTGCAATCTAGGGGGAAAGAGCTGGTGAATTTGAAGATGTTTACCTGGGAAATGAGAACAACATCCTCTCTTTATTTCTGATTCATTTGTTTCATTTTGTGCACAGAGCTGAATCCCACGGAAGGTCTAATTTCACTGGAGGAACTCAACTGTTCTGTAACTCTTAACTGGCAAGATGTAATCAACTGCTGTCATGAAGCTTCCAGAGACCCCTTTGTAATGACCTCTAAAAGCAGCTGGACAAATGCATGCCCAGTCATGGCAAAGTTGTCTCCCGGGCAGGAATATAATGTGATATTGTATAGAATCCTGAATGGAAGTTGTAGTCAAGAAGCATCCATCAACGTGACTACTAGTGAGTCTCACAATTGCTACTTGCTCGCAGCAGCAAAAACGACAACATAACAATAGCAATAGCACTTAGACTAATATAGTATACCACCCCATAGTGCTTTACAACATTCTCTGGGTGGTTTACAGAATCAGCATATTGCCCCAACAAACTTGTTCTGGTTTTACCAGCCTCAGAAGATGGAAGACTGAGTCAACCTTGAGCTCCATCAGGATCGAACTCCAGCTATGGGTAGAGTTTGCCTGCAAAAATGCATTCTAGCCATTTCACCACTAGGGCTTCTGGTGAGGTCTTGGTTCTGCTGCAGCAGAACTGAGTTCTTTCTATTCTCAAGAGCTGGATTAGTCTGCGATCTGGACTGAGCCATAATGCTGTTGAACTTGCATGAATCTTGGGACCCCGAGTCTCAGCTCCTCCTCTGTCAAGCTCAAAAGATCAGGTCTACACGTGAAGATCCAATTAAACTGATTTATTGCTACTTATGTCTATTGCACAGGAATATTCTCTCTCTCTCTCTTTTTTTAACAAATATGTTATTGAGTTTTTTAAGGGTAACAAGGGAATAGGGTCAACAGAGGTAAAACAAAGGGAGACATACAAAAGGGTTAAACCAAAGGAAGGGGGTAAACACAAATATTCTCAACTAGTAGTACCTACTTGAAGTTGGATAAAGGTCAACGGAATTCAAGGCAGATTGGATTTAGTTCACTTGTGGCTACATAAGGATTCTAAGTTCATCCTTCTTTTAACTCCACCTCAGGTTCTGCTAGTCCTTCTCCTACATGCTTTAGAGCAACAGGCTCCAACCTTCACGATTTGATAGCCTGTCTGAGGGGGAAAGAGGGGAACCAGGTTATGCAAGCAGTGGGCTGGCACGTGTGCGCATACATGCACAGCCTCACTCACACAAGAGAGAAGAGAAGCCTTTGGGGCACAGTTGCGCATTCCTTCAGGCTTCTCTGCACCAAAATCTTTTGCAAAGAAACAAAAGGCCTGAAGCAGCCTGAGATTGTTCCCCCAAAGCCTTGCGTCCTTTTGCTAAAGCTTTTGACATGGAGAAGAGACACCTTTGGGGGCATGGTCTCATATTCCTTCAGACTCATGGAGGCTGCCTGACAATCCAAAAGCAGATTGTTGTCCTGCGCAGTCAGCCTTGGTGAGTCAGCGAAACTGAGCATGGCATTCTCATTCAGCCTCTGTTCTCACCGCTTTTGGAGCATTGGAAGCAGGCAGCCCAGCTGGGGGGAGTGAGAGGTAAACTGGGCCATGAGATTGGCCAGCTCCACTTATGCAAGAGAGAAGCCTTGGGGTGCCGCTTGCACAAGTGGAGCTGCATGCGCACATTGCCCCACCTCTTGTGCAGCCCAGTTTCAAATAGGGCATGGTCTGTAATGGGCCACAGCCTGGGGGTTGGGGACTCCTGCTCTAGAGGAAATATCTGGAGTTGTGCAGTGGACAATTTATCCATGGCAGGAATTCCCTGTTCGTCTCACCTCAGCTTTAGGGATTTCTTTTCCCCCCTCTATCCATGGCATGTCATAACATCTTCACATTAGCAAAGTCCATTTATCAGTTTTGCTACTCTTCCCTTGCAATGGCCACAATTATGCTTTGTTTTAAAAGGCATAGGCAAAGAGGTGAGAATGAAGACAGGGAAAGAGGGATTGGTGGGTTGCCATTTTTGACATCTCCCCATTGGCCAATAGGAAGACAAAAGGCATCAGTGAAATTACTGGCATAGGAGTTCAAACATGCTGAAAGGATAAAGACAGTGATATACAAAGTTGCGTCCAAGTCCTTACACACTGATGAATCAATCATTTGCATAATGTACTTCTGATCAAAGTTCCAAACTGGGAACCAATACTGTTTTCTAGTACCCAGCTTGGTTTTCTGAATATCCATCTTTAAGTTGGCAAAATGGCACCGTCGTGCTCAAGACCAATGAATGAGGAGACTTAAAGGAAGTCCAAAGTTAGCAAAAAGAAACCCAATTCAAACAATTTGAAATGTCTAGTTTTAAACAATAAATCTAATTAGGGGTAGCTAATAGCCTGATAAACCTTAAGCTTTGTGCCAAGGAATGCTTAGCTGATTATTCTGGGAAAAGATAAAAGTGGAACAAATAAGAGGGGAGGGAAGTAGAACAGCTCGCTTGCTTTTTTATTTATTATTTCAATTTCTACATCCTGGACATCAGGACATTCCATGTTGTACCATTCGGGTTGCAGTTCTCAGCGGTGATGCCGAATCAACAAGGATTGGTTGGGGTCTATGACAATTTGCCATAGCCAACTCACCACAGCCAACTCGCTGAGGGATAACTCACCACGGCTAATTCGTTGCAGGACAAGAGTTACACAAATATCAAAGAAATGGTGGAAAAAGGTTGAAAGAAAGGTTGAAAAGGGAGGGACAGAATGAAATGTGAATGACAAAAAATTAAAAAAATAATTTATTTTAAATAATTGAATTCTTAAATCAGGGGTCTTCAAAGTTGGCCCTTTTATGACTTGTGGACTTCAACTTCCAGAATTCCTCAGCCAGGCACGTGTGCCTGGCTGAGGAATTCTGGGAGTTGAAGTCCACAAGTCATAAAAGGGCCAACTTTGAAGACCCCTGTGTTAAATTGTCCCACGGCGAATTGGCCGTGGCAAGTTGACTGTGATGAGTTGTCCCATTGAGCTGAGCTGCTCAATATAAAAAGCTGTGAAAAATGTCTTCTGTTTATTTCAGGGCCTTCGTCAGTTCGGAACCTTACAATAGAAAATCGCACAGTAGATTCCCTGCAGATTGGATGGAAGCCACCCAGAGACCCTCAAAGCTACACCTACACCTATTGTGTCTGCTTGATTGACTGTGCCATTGTCAATGAAAGCCCATTTCTTGCAAAAGGATTGAAAGGAGGAACAATGTACACAATTGAAGTCAGGGCTGTCACGAAGAGCAACGTTTATGGTGACACAATGACCATAAGTGTCATCACAGGTAGCATAGATTTAATGACTGGGGAGAGAGGAATGTGATTAAAATGATGGCTAAGGATCCATAAAATAAGTCAATGTGTTTTGTGGGCCATTAGAGGCAGTCCTTGCTTAATGACTGCTGTGTTTAATGACCATTTGAAGTTGTGACAGCACCCGGAAAATAACTTTATGACCAGTTATTTTTTTAAATGTTTTATTAATTTTTAAGAATTACAATCTTTAGAGCTTAGTAAACAACATGTTGTCTGGGTTCAAATATTTAACATTAACTTCTTCAATATAAATCTATTTAGTATTACACAATCCAATATTTTTTCCCTGATCTTCCTTTCTTCCCATATTTTTCCATTTTCCTCTCATTACATAATTACAATTCTTGGTACTGTTCATGTATATAAACATCTTCATCATATTTTACTAATGTTATGGAAATAACAATAATATCAATTCCTAAATCAATCTCCTGTTTTTCGTGCTCTTGTTAAAGTTTGATTTCCCATCAATATTTGAAGTATCTTTGTCAGTTATGACTTTCTCAATATTAATTACATTTATATAGATAAAATTTTTATTCATACCCGTCCTCCTCTTATTTCAATATTTCCTATATATAAAAAAGAAAAAACTGCTATTTTAATTCTAAATCATATATCTCATTATAAAAGTCTAATTATATCTAAGGGTCATCCATTCTTTTAATCATGTTCAAACAAGTATTTAAACATATAATGCCCCCTCTAATAGGTCAAATCTTCTATTTTTAAAATCTAGCTCTCACTTTCTTTCTTTACCAAGTAGCTTTCCAAGCCAAGGCAATTGAATTGCCCAGGAATTTTCTTTCTACTTTTTTGAAAGTTGCTTGGCATGAGGAAGATAATTTAGGTAGGGTATTTTTGGGGGGGAGAATTCCACCTGTTTATATTCCTTAAGCAACTTCCACTTTCCTTCTCCCTCAATATCTCTTTTCATTTTTTGTCTCCCAAATTGTAACATTTCCCCTGACAGCTCTATGTTCCCCTTTTTAAAATCTTCTCCCTTGTCATCAGGTGTATTTTGCAGACTTAAGGGGTTAAAAAAGTCTTTTGCATTTTTATTGTTATGGGTAAGTCTTGCAATATTTTATTTGTATATGGTAATTTATATTTCCCTTCTTTTGTCTCTTCTGTCTCTAGATCCATTTCCTCTGCATCTTCTGATTTCTAGTTTCTTTGTTTCATACTTTGTGGTTGTTGTCTTGCAACTTTCTAGTTGTAGATTTAATTTGGAGATTTGCTCATTTATATTACCTAGATTATTTTTAGTCTCATTATGATTTATTTGTATGTTCTCTTTGTATGCAACAATTCTTTGGTAAATTTTGTAGCGTAGAGTATATTTCCTTCTGAAAGGTGTTTGTTTTTTCTTGAGGCATCATTCCTGGAGATGGCTGGCTCAGGAATTCTGGGAGTTGAAGTCCATGTGCCTACCCCTGCTCTAATATGACCAGTCTCAGTAAAAGTAGAACAAAGTTTCTGGTCTTTATATGTAGCCTTTATAATCCAATAGGTTCCAGAATACAAGTCCAGTCTCAAAAGCAATATTTTATACTGATCCTTTGTCTCAGGCATCCAAAAATTATCAGTCAGGCATGGTTGTAATTCACAATGTTCAAAGTGTTCAGAATATTCAACCTTCCTGAAAACAGCTCAAAAGTCTCTCCCATCCAGACATACTCAAAGGTCAAATTTTTCTTTCTCTCCCACTAGCTCTTGAGATTAAAAATCCAAACTCAGTAGGTGTTTATAGTCCAAAAAGGTCAGGATGATAAGTATGCCAAAATATTTTCCTTTATTGCCAACTGTTCTCCCGTAAGCTAGGAGTCACCAAGCAGCCACGAAGTTAGTTATAGTGCTGTACTCAAATCCACCACTAGATGTCATTCAAAATCCATTTTCCACTCTTAAGACAAAGGATTGATTTCTTATATTTCATCTCAACATTCTTTTTTCAAAGAGAAAATCTTAACAATTATCAGTTCTCAAATTTATCAATTTTACTTCTACTTCAATATTGTGTATTTCTGTCTCCCATAGAAATTAAAATGCCGCTTCTGTTCACATTAGGAGGTTTTTAACCTTGGGAGCCTTTCCCAGGAAATTCAATTGTAAAATAGTAAAGAAAGGATCAATATTCTCACCCAGTTACAAACATGCTCTTTATGATATATTAATTGGTGCTTTTCTTCCTCTATTGTCAGAAGCTAATGGCTGACCACAGGAATGTAGCCAGTCTTTCCCCTACCAGTTTGGAGGGCTTTTCTCAGATTGAACGACAAGACTGCAGTTTCTCCGTGATCGACGAGGCACCCTTCCTTGTTCATCGCCTCTTTGTGGCTACTTTAGGGCCTTTTTAGGGCCCCCAGCAGGGTGAAATCGGGTGCAGAAGGCAGAGCCCTGCCTTCCTGCATCCGTTTTACTATGATGCAAAACCAGAAGCTATGACCACAGCATCCTGTGATCATATAGTTGCCATTTGCAAACTTCCAACAAGCAGAGTCAGTGAGAAGCAGATAGTAAACTTGCAAGTCGTGATCACATGACAGCAGAAGTGAGATCATAAGTCCATCACAGTCATTCAACATCTTTCTTAATGACCGCAAGTGATTTCTTAGCAGCCATAAACAAAGTGAGGCTGTAAGCCCTTTGCAATCACATGATTTCCCTCTTAGTGACTGATTTACTTAAAGATGGAGTTGCCAGTCCCATTTGTGTGTTTGTTAAATGAGGACTACCTGTAATGGATTTAGCTACCAATTTGATTTGTCACTGGGGTAACAACACAGGATAAAGTCAAAATGGCTGCTGGTTGACACTCAAAGCTCTAGGCCAGAAACAAAATAACAGAGGAGGGCTTTGGTGGGTCCTTCCCAGATAATGGGGCCCCAATGGTTGCCATAGCATGAGATATATTGGTGGCAACTGTTACGTCCTTGGCGGGAAAACAGACACGAGAAGCAGCTGGAGTTCTCAGTTTCTTTTATTCAGCGTTCAGCTTACAGGAAGATGGCTTCAGCTCAGCCCAAACGCCTCACAGCCTCTTATATAGGCAACTCCCGGGTAAATGGGTTACTTTTCCCGCGCCAGCACCCGCGCATGCGCACGGCGCTGGCGACAGCCTGTCTGGTCCCGGGCAGCTTTGCACCTGCCCGGGACTGCCTGCAAACGCCCGAGCCGTTTGCAAGGCTCGGGACATAACACCCCTTTCCCCCGGGCTAAAACTACTATCAACATACAACATTTATTTTACACGACAATTTGCTCCCCAGTGTTCCCACTGTTTACTGGCTTCTGTCTTGCCAACAATGTTATGTAATCTTCTAGGTACTTAGGAGATTTCTTTGCTCTCTGTGACCTTCTTAGCTCTGGGTTACTGGCATAAGTCCCCTGACTGGAGGGAGGCATGAGCCTGTTCTCTCTACTGTGCCCTGGTGTCTTCCAAGGACTGTGCCCCGATGCCTGGCCTGCTTGCTTGCCCACCGGGCTCGTCAGGCCAGGGCTTCTGTTGCTTTGTGACCTGGTTGTCCTACCTAGCTGTAGACCCTCAGGCCCCTTGAAGTGATAGCCACTGCTGGGCGTCTCTGTAGAACCCCCTAGGTCAGTCCAAGACCTGTCAGGAGGCTGTCTATTCCCTGAACCCCATTCTGTGTTTGGGCTCGTGTGGGTTTCTGTACTCTCCCAAAACTCAGGTGTCCCCTGATTTGTGCTAGGGGTGTTGTAGTCGGGACTTGGTTCCTCGACTAGCTCTGTGTATGTTTGACCCCCTGTAGGATTTGGGGTAAGGTCAGGCCAACCTTGGGCATTGTGTGCCAGCTCTCTTGCGGGGAATGATTTGTTGGGATGCCCCCGGGTATCCTCCGTTGCTGGAGTGCTGTGTGCTGTGTGTGGAAAGTGAGTATGCCCCCGGGGTAACTCCCTGGCTGGAGTAGGCGTGAGTGCCTGTTGTGTGGGTAAGCTCCAAGACTTCCTTTTCGGAGCAATTGCAGAATCTTGGGACGAGCCGTTTGTGGCTCCCTCAGTGGCGATGGGCAGTAGCTCTTGCCCTTCCCTTTGCTCCAAAGGGTCCCCCTCCCCCCCTGGAAAAGACCCAGGAGTTTCAGCAGAAAAGTCCCGCCTAGAGCGGAGTTGGTCGATGTGCCGACGCAGGACACGACCGTTGTCCAGGGCAACCTCGTAGGAGAGAGGACCTGTGATCCTGGACACAGAAGCGGGGACCCATGTATGACCAGGCCCGTAATTGCGAGCCCAAACCGGGGCACCCACAAGTAGTTGTCTAGGTGCCCTAGGATGTGAGGTAGATGAAGGCAGTCTGTCCGGATGCAACCGGTCAAGTCTCGTAGTAAGTTGGCGCCCCCAACGAAGTTCAGCTGGACTTCTCCCTGTAGAAGTGGACGGTGTGGTGCGATAAGAAAGGAGAAAGTCAGCCAACCTGTGATGCCAGTCCCCGTAGGTGAGTCTCTTCAAGGCGTCCTTTGCGATGCGCACCATGCGTTCAGCCATACCGTTGGTGGATGGGGTGAAAAGGCGCAGATGTGGCATGACGAATCAGGTTTGCCTGTAAGAAAGCTTGGAATTCGGAGGAGGTGAATTGAGGGCCGTTGTCAGACACAATGACATCTGGCAGCCCGTGTGCAGCAAAAATCCCCCTCAGTACCTGAATAGTCTTTGCAGTGGTGGTGGTCGAGACAGGCACAACCTCAAGCCATTTTGAATGGCTGTCAACAAGGACCAAGAAGAACTGGCCCTGAAAGGGCCCAGCGTAGTCAATGTGCACCCTAGACCATGGGGACTGTGTTTCCTCCCATTTATGCACAGGAGCTTGGGGCATCTCTGGGCGAGATCGTTGGCACATGTGGCATGCGTGTACCTTAGCCTCAATATCTTTATCTAAAGCAGGCCACCACAAGTGGCTGCGTGCAAGAGCCTTCATACGAACAATGCCAGGATGACCCTCGTGGAGGGATTCTAAGACCCTAGCCCTCATTGAGGTGGGAATGACAACTCTGTTTCCCCAAAGCAAACAACCCTGAGAAAGGGACAATTCGTTCCTTTTGGACCAGAAACTCTGAAACTCAGGACTAGGGCAGTGCTCAGGCCACCCGGACAGGACCCAGGAGCGGACACGAAAAGTGTGTGATCTGTACCTGTTTCAGCGGTAACATCCCTGGCACTAAGAGGAAGCTCGGGTAAGGCTTGGATTGATAGAATGTTGACAGCTGGCGCGGGGTCAGCTTCTACTACTGGCAGAGGCAACCTACTGAGGCCATCAGCATGGCCCATTTCTTTCCCAGGCTTGTGGAGTAATGAAAAATCATATGCAGACAAAAAAATAGACCACCTAAGCATTCTAGGGGAAATGATGTGGGGAGTCTGCTTACGTGTGGTAAACAGTCCCAGCAGAGGCTTATGGTCAGTGAAGACCGTGAAATGCCTGCCATATAGAAAATCGTGGAATTTTTTAATTCCAGCAACAACAGCCAGAGCCTCCCTGTCTATCTGAGCGTAGTTGCGCTCGGCAGAAGACAATGTTCTGGAGTAGTATGCAATAGGAACCTGAGTTCCATCAGACCTGAGGTGACTCAGGACAGCTCCAACCCCGTAGGGGGATGCATCACAAGCGATGCACACAGGAAGAGACTCGTTGAAATGTGCAAGAACACTGTTAGAAGTGAGCAAGGCCTTGACTTCTTTAAAGCAAGCCTCATGTGCTTGTGACCACAGCCACACAGCTTGTTTGTCTAGTAGCCTGTGAAGAGGCTCAGCTACACTAGCTTTATGTGGAAGAAAAGAATTGTAGAAATTCAGGAGGCCTAAGAAGGCCTGAAGTTCGGCCTTAGACTTTGGCCTGGGTGCTTCTAAAATAGCAGTTAGTTTGGATTCAGCAGGATGAATCCCAGCAGCATCAATTTTGAATCCCAGAAATTCAGTAGAAGGCACCCCGATCTTGCATTTGTCTTTTCTGAGCTTGAGGCCTGATTCCCTGAATCTTAACAGGACAGCCCTAAGTCTTTCAGCTAGAATGTGTGTGGAGTCTCCTGCAATCAAGACATCGTCAAAGTAGGGGCAGACCCCTGGTATACCTCGTAGTGTGTTTTCCATTACGCTTTGGAAAATCCCAGGAGCGACATTCACTCCAAACTGCAGCCTTTTTACCTTAAAGGCTCCCCTGTGGGTCACAATAGTCTGAGCTATGGCAGCATCATTATCAACAGGCAGCTGTTGATATGCTTGAGCTAGGTCAAGCTTTGCAAAAACACGCCCCCCCTTGAGAGAGGCCAGGATGTGACTGACCACAGGAACAGGATAGGCATGTTGCTGCAATGCCTTATTGAGTGTGCATTTGTAATCAGCACAAATGCGAATGTCCCCATTTGCCTTTAGAGGCGTGACAATGGGGGTCTCCCACGGGCTGGAATCAACAGGTTCTAGGATTCCCTTGTTGGATTAGTTTGTCTAATTCAGTGTCAATCTTACTTTTTAAAGCAAAAGGGACCCTTCTTGCTTTAATCCTAATGGGAGTGACAGTGGGGTCTAGCTTTAAGGACACAGGTGGTCCTTTGAATGTGCCCAGCTGGGGGCTGAAAACATCTGCAAATTCTTTGCAGACTTCCTGTAGGTCGAGTGTTTGTAAGCTGTTGAGTCCTGTGACGTGTATCCCCAGGGCCTCAAACCAATCGAGTCCTATGAGACTCGTTCGTTCACCCCCTACTACTAATAAGTCTAGTGGACCTTCAAAGCTCTTGTATTGCACGTTAAGGGTGGCCTCCCCCTTAACACACACTCTTGAGTTCTGAAAATCTGTTAATACAATATCAGAAGGCCTTAACTTGGCCTTAGACCCACTACTGGAACAAATCTTCCTAAATGTATGCAATGAAATGATGGACAGGGCAGACCCTGTGTCTAGTTCCATAGATAATGGAACCCCTTGTAGCTTCACGTTGAGTGACAGCTTTTTCTTCATGGGCTTGTGTGTGCCTGTTCTACAGATGCTTCTTCGCGAAGCGCAAAACCCTACCCTATTCTGGCTGGGGAATCTGGTACCTTTCAGGCGTTCTTCTTGGGGTTGTGCCTTTCGTCGGCTCAGACACACAGCTGCAATATGCCCTTGTTTGCCGCATGCCCGGCAGGTAGCGGAGCGGAACTTGCAGTCGGTTCTCCTGTGGCGACCTCCACAGCCGATGCACTTGAGCAGAGCCGAAGAGCTTCCCTTCTGGTTCTCTTCCTTCGCGGGTGTAGACGGTCGACTTCCTCGTCCGGATCCTCCTCGGAGTTTCGTCGGACGTCTTCCTGGTGCACGGACGCACCCTCTGCACTGTTTCTGATCGGCCGCATGTTTTTGATGGCGCCGCTTGCTGCTTCTTCTGCGGTGACTTCCCTTAAGGCGTCTTGGAAGGATAATTCTTCCTTGGCAAAAAGTCTCTGTTGTAGCTCTCGATGCCTTAGCCCGCACACGAATCGGTCCCTCAGTCGTTCCTCGAGGTCCTTGAACTCGCAGGGCTTGGCGGCCTTCCGTAGCGCGGCGATGTATTCCTTGGCTGTTTCACCGGACCGTTGATCCCTCTGCTCGAAGGTGTGGCGCCATGAGATAACGGACACCTTGGGGTGGAAGTGCTCTTTCAGCAGCTTCTTCAGGTCTGTGTAGCTTACAGACTCTACTGGAACAGGTGCTACAAGATTTTCTGCGATTTCGAAGGCGTCTTGGCCGCAAACGCAAAGCAGGGTGGCCGCCTTCAAGCTATCTTCCCTCACTTGATTTGCCTTGAAGTAGTTCTCCATTCTGGATACGTAGGACTCCCACCGCTCTGGATGTGAGACGTCGAATTCCGAAAGCCTTCCGATTTTCGCCATCTTCGGATCTTCAGGAGACGGGTCTATCAGCCAGCCTACCCCCGAATGCGCACCGGATTGGCGGGCAGCTGCCGAGTCGACGCCGTTCCTCTTCCGCCGCTCAGGACTCCTTGGGTAAGCTTACACTTTTTCCTTTCCAGGTAGTGCAAGGCATCCCACCTTCGTCGCCAGTGTTACGTCCTTGGCGGGAAAACAGACACGAGAAGCAGCTGGAGTTCTCAGTTTCTTTTATTCAGCGTTCAGCTTACAGGAAGATGGCTTCAGCTCAGCCCAAACGCCTCACAGCCTCTTATATAGGCAACTCCCGGGTAAATGGGTTACTTTTCCCGCGCCAGCACCCGCGCATGCGCACGGCGCTGGCGACAGCCTGTCTGGTCCCGGGCAGCTTTGCACCTGCCCGGGACTGCCTGCAAACGCCCGAGCCGTTTGCAAGGCTCGGGACATAACAGCAACCCTGCTCATTGCAGAGAAAAAATGTTCCAATTTTTCCCCATGTTTACAGAACAGGCCAGAGCAGAATTTCTCAACCTTGGCAACTTTAAGATGTGTGGACTTCAACACCCAGAATCCTTTTGACCAACTCCAACAGAGACTTGAATGAGCCAAAATCTTTTATGAGTTGTAACGATATTTGACTTCCTGATATTGGGACACCAGGCTAACGAAATCTGCTCTTCCCTCAGCTCCCAACAGCCCTGAGAAGATCACTGTGGAAAGTTACAGTCCTTATTACCTTTCCATTGCCTGGAATCCTCCCAAAGACCCGAATGCAACGGATTATTTGTACAGAATCAGTTGGTGGAGAGAAGACGGGACACAAGTGGGCAACTACTCCATTCTGGGTTTCAATTACACCATTTGCAGTTTGAAGCCAGGACTTGTGTACCTGGTGAGGGTGATCTCAGAATTCAGTGAGATTTTGAGCGAAGCCACAAAGCTGTGGACTCTAACGTGTGAGTGCAACTCTAAAAAAGGTTCAGGAACCTTGTTTGATTGTCATCTTAGCACTGAAGGGAGCTAGATTTCCTTGCTCAGCCGTGAATCTTTCTGAGAGACCTTGCTCTATCTGGCCCTTCTCACAGGGTGGTTGTGGATGCTCAAGCACTACACAAAATGTGCTTTTGTATATAAATGAAGGAATTCTAGAGGCTTCCCAGCCTTCAGTTTAGATTTGTTTCTCATTTCCAAGTCCTTCATATCAACAGGCCTTTTCCCACCTGTTGGGTGGATGCAAGTTATGTCAGATGCAACTGTCATTATCCCCAGCATGTGCAACCAGTGGCTGGGAATGATGGGAGCTGTCTCCTCATGCATAAAGAAAGCAGGAAACCAAAAATGCCTTTAAAAGAGAGCTCTCCATTTTATATTTTATTTTGTTCCTTTTTAATCCCCCTTTATTATTTTTATATATAATTCAAGAAAGCAAACTTAACTTATACCCCTTCCGCCTCCTTTTTCCCCACATCAACCTGTCAGGTGCAATGTACTGAGAGAAAGTGATTGACCCAAAGTCACCCAGCCAGCTTTCATGCCTAAGGTGGGACTAGAACTTACAATCTCCTGGTGATAGGCCCAAAGTCACCCAGCCAGCCTTCATGCCTAAGGCGGGACTAGAACTCACAGTCTCCTGGTGATAGGCCCAAAATCATCCAACTGGCTTTGATGCCTAAAGAGGGATTGGAACTCATAGTCTCCTGGGTTTTAGCCTGGTGCTTTAACCACTAGACCAGGGGTAGGCATCCTTGGCTCTTTTATGACTCATGGACTTTTATGACTCAGCATAGCTGACTCAGGAATTCTGGGAGTTGAAGTCCATGAATCATAAAAGAGCCAAGATTGCCTATCCTTACACTAGACCAGGGGTAGGCAACCTTGGCTCTTTTATGACTCGGAGACTTAAACTCCCAGAATTCCTGAGCCAGCGTGGCTCAGCTTGGAAACCTCCCTTTTCCCTCAGCATGGCTGGTTCAGGGATTCTGGGAGTTGAAGTCCATGAGTCATAAAAGAGCCAAGGTTGCCTATCCTTACACTAGACCAAACTGCCTCTCAAACACAACCAGGGCTGTTGTTTTCTGGGATTGCTGTTCTAACACTCTACCTCTCTCTTTCAGCCCCATTGTCCCCGACCCATTTCCACATCCAGATGATCAATCAAACCACCGTTCATTTTGCCTGGGTGAACCCAAACTCGCCATTCAGTGCCATCCGACTCCAGTGGAGCCCTTCAGATGGATCCAGAGGAAACGAAACATACCCCAAGCCTTTGAACCAAGCTGTCCTGCATGGTCTCACTCCCAGCACCAATTATACCTTCACTCTCTTCAGCACAGCTGGAAATGGTTCCCTGTCCAGAGACAGCATTGGCCTACAGCAGCACGAGGCCACAAGTACTTAATTCTCATTTTACAGAGAAAATAGGAGCTAGAGAAGGGGGGAGCAACCAACCTTTATAAAGAATACTAGATTTATGGAAAGAATTAGGCTACGAATGATCAATTGACTATGTGCCATCAAGTTATTTTTTTACTCCTACTACAGATAGCCCTCAACTTACAACAGTTCATTTAATGACCGTTCGAAGTTACTTCACTGAAAAAAGTGACTTATGATCATTTTTCACACTTACGACTGTTGCAGCTTCCCCATGGTCATGTGATCAAAATTCAGATGCTTGGCAACAGGTTCATATTTATGACGGTTGCAGCATCCTGGGTTCACGTGCTCTCCTTTTGTGACTTTCTGACAGGCAAAGTCAATGGGGAAGCCATATTCACTTAACAGCCCTGTTACTAACTGAACAACTGCAGTGATTCACTGCAGTTGTTAAACAGGTAGTAAAATGGGGCAAAACTTGCTTAACAGCCATCTTATCTAGCAACAAAATTCTGGGGCTCAGCTGTGCTCATAAGTCAAGGAGTACCTGTACATAGATAGATTTTGCCTATGACAATCTGACTTCAGAGCTGGCCCACAATGTCTTCCCTCAAGCCTTGAGCTAAAATGATAAGACCAGTTCCTGGAGCATAAGCAACTAGGCTGGTGATTGAATTTTAATTTAGTACAGTCAGCGGATATGTCCAGCAAGCGCTGTTAGTAAAATTGTGGTCCTCGTGTCAGATCAAGCCTGGAAAAATGAGCCGAATTGCAGCGAATCAATGGTGACTCAAGAACTTCAGCCTGCCAAAGTCTACCAAATTAAAACAAAAACTTTTTGGTGCATCCAATATGCAGTCTCAGACATCAGTGGGTGGGCAAGACCTGTGATACAATTTTCTCCTCTGTCACTGGAGTTTTTCTGCACCTGAGATCTTCCTTCATTTTGCCTGATACTAAAGCCAGCCCTGAACTGTCCACCTCCAATTTCTCTCCCCCCACTAGTGAAGTGCAGAAGAGAGCAAAATTTGAGAGAGAACTAGATGTTTGGGAATTTGAAGCAGGCATGTTCGACATGCAAGAAAGCTTGACCGCTAAGCAATGGTAACCCCTGCCTGAATGGGGGAAGCTCACAGTTATGGCTGGGCATATCCTGTCATTCTGCATCAATGTAGAAGACTTTTTCTGGTTGTTCTCAGATTATAACTGGAAGAAGACAATTGTTCCACCCTTTACCTGAATTGACCATTAAGCTTAATGTACACTTGAGAGCTGCCAACCTACAGAAGGCTGCATATAGAATAGGAAGCAACATTAGGTAGAAAGGAAACAAATGGGAGGGCTACCTAGCCCAACAAATGATTGATTGATTTTGTACCATCAGGTTTTTGACTCCTAGTGACCACCTAGATAGATTTTGCCCATGATGTCTATCCCTATCACCTAGTCTTTCAGGTCTTCCAATGGTGCACCCCTCACCACTATAACAGAGTCCACCCACCTTGTTGTTCATCATCCTGTCCTCTTTCTTTCCACCTTTCCCAACATTAAAGCCTTCCCCAGAAAGCTAGGTGTTTGCATAGAGAAGGAGAAGGGACGGAAGTATTTAAGGAAAGTGAGCACCTAGGAGCAGCCCAGGAGACATGGTTGATATGATTGATCAAGAGGAGGGCTATCACAGCTTGCTTGGAAACTCCTGATCTCCACCAGTTGGCAGCAGAGACACATTAGCTACCATGTAATAGTGAAATGGAGTTTCACAGGCCAAATGTAGCTCTAATCAAAAGGGAAGCTGGTGGGAGCTTGGCTCCTTTTTTTTTTTTTTTTTTTTTGCAATTTTCTCAAGGTGACTGCTTCATTTTCTCTGATGGGAGCAGCCCTCTAGACACACTGGGGTGGATAAAGTTGGTAGAATGAGCTGGTGAGGTTGTGAGAAGGCCCCTGCCTAACCCTCTTTCCTTCTTGCTTGTACAGAGCCAGAACAAGTAAGTGATTTGATATGCCTCCCTTTGCAAGATAGCTGGAGTCTGAAATTATCCTGGACATGTCCAGCGAGCCCTGTTAGTAAAATTGTGGTCCTCGTGTCAGATAAAGCCTGGAAAAATGAGCCAAATTGCAGCGAATCAGTGGTGATTCAAGAACTTCAGCCTGCCAAAGTCTACCAAATTAAAATAAAAACTTTTTGGTACAACCAATATGCAGTCTCAGACACTGTGGAGTGCTCCATCAATACTACAGGTGAGATCTAAGACCATCTCAGTGTAAATTATGTGTTAATCCTGTAGTTGGGCCACAGCAAATGAATTAATGGTTTCTGAAAAAGCCCATTCCATTCGGAGGGTACCAATTGTTTCACACATTTTTGGCCCCAATTGTTTGTCCAAAGATCTTATGTTTTCTTTCTGTGTTCAGTGGCTCTGCTTGGATCCCTTTTTGCGGTGCTGCTTCTGTTCATCATCCTTTGCTTCCTGTTCTTTTATTTCAGGAGACCAAGGTAAGCTTGTTTGAGATTGTGAACACCAATAGAAGAGAATATTGGTAGCTCAGAGTTGAACCCTGGGATTGCTCTCTGAAGGGTTTTTGGTGCTCTGCAGGCATTTCAGTATCCAACTAGGTAACATCCTGAACTAGCTAGCACCACTAGTACTGATGATGTTACCTAGTTGAGTAATGAAATGTCTGCAAGAAAACAACCAAGTGCGGAGAGCATCTTGGAATTTGAGTAATGCACGGGTCATGCTGATGGACAACTGAGTTCCAGAGTTTCTGGAAATGGGTCTTGCATTGTTGGCTTCAGTTCAACAGTGTCCTGTTTGGCATTCTCTGTACCGATGAGGATGGAAGCACTAACAAATGCTGCCCAAGTGTCACTTCCAATTTTCATCCTTTGCTTTCAGAAGGGCAGATGCCTCGGAGGAGCAGAATCCAGACGTGGGATTGTCTGGGTGAGAATAAATTTTAAGATTTTTAGAAGAGAAGCACCATATTATCTTGTTTGAAGCCAAGCAATGATGAAGGCAAGCACTCCCTAGGATTAGAAGTAGAAGGGAGGGAGGGAGGGAGAGAAGAGGGGGGAGAGGGAGACAGAGGGAGGGAGAAAGGGAGAGGGAGGCAGGAAAGGAGAGAGAGGGAGAGGGAGAAAGACAGAGGGAGAGGGAAAGAGTGAGCGAGGGAGGGAGGGTGAGGGAGAGAGGGAAGAGAGAGAGAGAGAGAGAGAGGGAGGGAAGGAGAGAAGGAGAAAGAGAATGGGAGGGAGGGAGGGAGAGAAAGAGGAGGGGAGGGAGGGAAGGAGAGAGGGGGGAGGGAGAGAGGGAGAGAGAGGTGCGATGTAGGCCAGAAGTAGGGAGATGAAGGAATGGCCTTGAAGGACAGGAGAAGAGTTGCTACTAAGGCAATGGGCAGATAAAAGGGGGTTAAGCCCAGGCCAAGAAAAAAAATGGTCTCAAACAAGCCCCCCCCCTAGTTGAGGTGAAAATAAAGTGGGTGCAGAGAAGCCCATTCAGACTTGCAAGATTCGGTAATGCAAGATACAGCTTTACAATAAAAGGAATAGCGACCTACAGGTCATTGGTTTCCTAATCTGGCCTGCCTTGAAGGATTCCCACCAAGCTACTTGGAGTAACGTCACCCAGCCTGCACCCTTTGGTATTGAAACAATCCAATTTCTCTACTTTTTATCTGTCACAGAGTCCTTGGTGCAGTACCTGTGTCGGCTTTCCCACGCCATTGCTACGAGAAGCTGTCAGACAGCGCCTTCGGCTTTGCTGTTGAATACCAGGTATGAAGTTGGAGGCAGGGTTCGTAGTTCAGTAGAGAATCACATGACTGGCATAGAGAAGAACCCATCATCCAAATCCCGTGTCTCTAGGCAGAGCTTAGAAACCACTCTGTCTGCAGCGCCCCAAATCCAATGATTCCCAGCATTGACAGTCGAGGCTCCTGGGCTGTTGGTTTGCCTCCCAGGACAAAGCATTCTGGGAAACAAAGATTTTGCTCCACTGAGCTTTCTCTTTGTATATGGGTGAGTGTCTAAAGGAATTTCAATGGATCAGACATCCCTTTTGATCAAACATTTCTGGAGAAAAGCTGGACAAGACAAGACAAGACAGGACAAGAAGCAACGGATGGAAACTAATCAAAGAGAGAAGTAACCTAGAACTAAGGAGAAATTTCCTGACAGTGAGAACAATTAATCAGTGAAACAATCTGCCTCCAGAAGTTGTGATTGCTCCAACACTGTAACTTTTTAAGAACAGAGTGGACAGCCATTTGTCTGAAATGGTATAATGTTTCCTGCCTGAGCAGGGGGTTGGACTAGATGACCTCCAAGGTCCACCACAAATGCTGCTATTGCTCTATGGTCCATATATCTTAATGCATATAAATGGATGCAATATAAAAAATGGATTCAATTCCTGTTGCTCACTGTTGTGCTATTGCAAAACATTAGAAAAATAAAGTGCACTGACATTGAATCAGTGATATTTACCATTAGAGTTTTTTCCCCTCCCATTTTCTCTTTTTTTAAAAAAAAATTATGTGTTTTAGTTCTTGCCTTGAGACTTTGCACAGAAAATGTCATGTCACGGTGACAGTTCTCCCTTCAGTGATAATGTTGCCCAAGGGAGACTCCCTACATTTTCCATTTTAAGCCATCCTTTTATTCTGCATGAATGTGCAAGTTCTCTAAAAAAGGATTGTATGTTCCAGTGTGGTCTACATTGGTTAGACTCCACTTTGCCTACAGTGTCAAGTTCTGAGCCCCCACAGAATCAAAGAAATTGGAACAGGAGCTCTAATTACGTTCTTCAAATACTCACCGGGATGTCCCATAGAAGAACATCTAAACTTCTTTCAAAGGAAGGTATTTTTTTTTCTTTAAAAGGCAACTGAACTGGGGTTGCTGTTGTTGTTTGCACTGTTCCAATATCAAAGAATAGGTCAACCCATTCTTCAAAGCATCTGAAGAGAAGAGCAATAAAGACGATCAGGGGGTTGGAGGCTAAAATATATGAAGAATGTTTGCTGGGATTGGATATGTCTAGTCTAGTGAAAAGGACTAGGGATAACATGATACACGTGTTCCATTATCTAAAGGGCTGCTACAAAGAAGAGGGCATCAACCTGTTCTCCAAAGCACCTGAGGGCAGGACAAGAAGCAATGAATGGAAACTAATCAAGGAGAGAACCAACCTAGAAGTAAGGAGAAATTTCCTGAGAGTGAGAACAATTAAAGAGTGGAACAACCGAAGTTGTAGATGCTCCAAGACTGGAGGTTTTTAAGAAGAGATTGGACAACCATTTGTTTGAAATGATATAAAGTTTTCTGCTTGAGGTGGACTAGAAGACCTCCAAGGTCCCTTCCAACTCTGTTGTTCCGTTATTCCATTATTTTCATTGAGGAGGAGGAAGAAGAAAACATTTCACTTCTTATCCAAGAAGGTTCATCAGTTCTGATGGTGGTGGTGGGGATGGAAGGATAGGTTCTGATAGGATGGGGGGGAGAGAATACAAGGATTTTTTTTCTTTGCAGTAATCTGATCATTAGCACTCTCTCTGAGAGTTATTGAGGCCACTTGGGGGTTTATCTATGCCTCAGGATCACTTGAATCAGAGTACAAATGGATGTGGAATCTTCTTGGGGCTGCTGCAAGGACTGCATTCTTCTTCTTCCTCAAGAAAAAAAAAGTCCAGCTGGCTTTTGAAGGGGAAAAAAAAAGCACCTTTGAGACAATTACGACCAGGATGACTGACAATCTCCACAAGATCTAAACTTCCCCCACTGGTCTTCAAATAATAGATTTAGATTTCTATGGTCTCCCTCAAGACAATGGCAAGAAAGCACTGCCTGGAGTACTATTAACCTGACATTCCCCAGGAGGATAGAGTCTGCAACTCCTAGACTTCCCCAAAAGAATGACTATGCCTTTGGGGAATCTCATATCCTGAGGTATGCCAAGGGGGGGGGGAGGGAAAGCTAGATGAGGGAAAGCTAGCCCAGCATGATGTAATATTTGAATTATACAGGTTGCCCTTGACTTACAACAGTTCATTTAATGACCATTCAAAGCTACAATGGCACAAAAACAAAAGTGACTTGTGACCATTTTTCACACTTGCGGCCATTGCAACATCCCCATGGTCATGTGATCAAAATCCAGGCAACTGGATCATATTTATGATGTTTGCAGTGTCTCAGGATCATGTGATCACCTTTTGCGATCTTCTGACAAATAAAATCAGCAGGGAAGCCAGATTCACTAAGTTAACAACTGCAGTGACTTAACAATTGTGGCAAGAGAGGTTTAAAATGGGGCAAAACTCACTTAACAAATGTCTCCCTTAGCAACAGAAATTTTGGGCTCTATTATGGTCGTAAGTCAAGGACTACCTGTATATTTATTTATATATGTTCCCGATTGGAAGCATTCTTTGATTACACCGGCAATCTGCTTTCCTTGGAGGGAGGGGGAGTTTGCAGATCCCCACCTAGCTATTTCTTGTTTGTCTTCATAACTTTGTGAAATATCTATAAATACATTGTTCCCAACAGTGCCAACATCAGTTATGCAGAAAGAGTAGGCAAAGCAAGTGTTAGCACCTGAGTTGTTGATACTTCCTAAATTAACTTGCAATCACCGCATTCACTGTTCTTAGAAACTATTGTGGTTTCAATTTTACTTCTGCAAAGCTTGAATTTCCACTTGGTTCAATTGGATTTGAGTCACGCATTGCAAATATGAACAAGTAAACATCAATTTTCATAGTAAGCTCTAATCTTATTGATCTCTTTCCTCATCCTACCTTGAAATATATTTGTTAAAAAGGAGTGCTCCATATCTCAACTGTCCCATATCATATTCAGCTTTTTATATTAATATGTCCTCAGTTTTCTTCCATTTGTTAGCATCTCTGTTCTTGCTGTGTATAAGAATTTCCAGACTGATAAAAACTCAGGAGTTTGTTATATAAGCAATCCACTGTAAATATCCCCATTATCAGCCATTCAAATTGCTGGAATGTTTATAACTTCATCTTATTCATCTCAATAAATCTTATTAAAGAGAAATCTGCAAAAATGATGTTTGGAAAAGAGTCGTTTTCCATTTTTGACGGTTGTTAAAAATTCTGGCATAATAGCTGGTTTTCTTTTTAAAGACCTCAGAAGCTTCAGAAAGGCACGTTTTAAATAAACAGATACTAAGCAACAGATTTTCTTAGCTATCCAGATGAAAACGCCCATTAGCCTTCTCCCACTACCTTTCACATTTATGGATTTTAGGAATCCTCAGCAATAGCAATGCTTTAAGCCCACTCATCTTGTGGCTGCCATGGGGAAGATTTGGCAACAGCATCATAGCTCAATGGTCCTCTGTACTGTGTTGTATTCTTGTATACCCTTTTCACCATATCTGCTGAAATGCCTGGTTTGTCTGTCATAAGGCAAACTTTTGGTGTGAATGATGGATTCCCAGATGTTATCAGTCTGACTTCACTTAACAGGTTCACTCAGGGAAGGCGTTTTTTTTTCCAGAGGGAGCATGGGTTGAGGGTGAGGAAGGGATTGTCCAGCTCCACACATGAGCTGGATCCCAATCAAAATATGGTTCAGAATTTCATTCAAGGAAATCAATTTTCAGTATTTTGTGTTTCTCCACCAATTTTCGTGTATGAATCATTGACTTTGGTGGACAAAAAGTATATGTAGACTTACGACTACAATTGAGCCCACAATTTCTGTTGTTAAGTGAGACATTTGTTGAGTTTTGCCCCATTTTACAATTTTTCTTGCCACTGTTGTTAAGTGGATCACTGCCATTGATAAGTTAGCAACCTGGTTATTAAGTGAATCTGGCTTCCCCACTGACTTGGCTTCTCACAAGGTCACAAAAGGTGATGATCACATGACCCTGGGGCAAAATGCACTCCAGTTGCCCAGGGTCTGAATTGTGATCACGTGGCCAGGGGGATGCTGCAAAGGTCGTAACTATGAAAAACGGTCATAAGTCACATTTTTCAGTGCCGTTGTAACTTTCAGCGGTTACTAAAGGAACTCTTGTAAGTTGAGGACTACCTAAAGTTCCTTTGATCTAGGATGCAAAGGAACGGAGTTGTTGTGGGTGGATTTCAAATAAAATAGCCTCGGACCTCTCCAATTTTTAAGAAATCTCTACATCTTCAATTAGTGATGTGAGCATCAATCCCAAGGCACGATGGCTGAGGATGTTGGGACTTGTAACTTAACACAACTGCAGAGCAACTGGTCGGGAAGATGTCTATCCTCATCCTGTTAGCATTAAATGTCAATATACCTCGTGGGACTTATTCTAAACAGACACATTGGAAAAAGGTTGAGAACAAGGAGCAAAGGCAGGGATAGAATCAAGATTACAAGAAGTGATACTATCGCTTTATAACACCTGGTAAGACCACACTTGGAATACTGCATCAAGTTTTGGTCACCACAATATCAAAAAATGTTGAGACACTGGAAAAAGTGAAGACAGAGCAATAAAGATGATTGAGGGGGGTAGAGCTGGAGGCTAAAACATATGAAGAATGTTTGCAGGAATTGTGTATGTCTAGCCTAGTGAAAAGAAGAACTGGGGTGACATGATAGCAGTGTTCCAATATTTGAGGGGCTGCCACAAAGAAGAGGGAGTCAACCTATTCTCCAAAGCGCCTGAAGGCAGGACAAGAAGCAACAGATGGAAACTGAACAAAAAGAGAAGCCACCTAGAACTAAGGAGAAACTTCCTGACAGTAAGAACAATCAATCAGTGAAACAACTTGCCTTCAGAAGTAGTGGGTGCCTCAATACTGGAGGCTTTTAAGAAGGGATTGGACAGGTCTCCTGCTTGATCAGGAGGTTGGACTAGAAGACCTCCAAGATCCCTTCCAATTCTGTTATTCTGTTATTTAAAGGAAGACGATTTCCAAGATAGTAACACTCTTGCTTGATTGCTTGTTTTCGCTATTTGCTTTTGCTTTGTCTTATTTTGGAAGCCCTCTGTGCCCTGCTTTACTGAGTCAATATTTCTTCTTTCCTTGTCTACATAATAGCAACTGCAGGACACGGGGACAGATCAGCTCCAGAGTGTCGCCCAGCAGCATGAAAATCAAGCTAAGAATCGCTATAGCAACGTTCTGCCATGTAAGTTCCGTTTCCTTACCTTGCGAGCCTTTTCATTATTTTATTCTTTCCAACTCATCGGAATGAACCCATTGGAAGGGGTTCTTTCTGTCCATCTGCAGGAAAATGATCAGAATGAGATCCAGTCTGGGGTGGAGGATGAAGTCAGCAAAAGAAGGATTGAGTTTAAAACTGGGCTTAAAGGGGCCATGGACTACTGAAAGCATCTTTGGGGGAGATACAGTCAAGCAGCCTCTTGAACTGTGAATTGTGAGCTGCCCAATGGCCTCAAATTGAACGAATGAATAGTTTCCATTCTAAGCCCTCCTCCCTCCTGCTTAGAAGACCCAGAATAGGTTATATGCAGTCTGCCCTATGCTTCCCTGTGCACTATTACACAAACACAATGTCAGACCCCATAAACAAATAATGACACATTGAATTGCTTTTGAGGAGTATCTTTATACTAGTGGCATATAAAACCCTGGTAGGACAGGGGCTAGAATGCAGTATTGCGGGCTAACTATGCCCACAGTCTAGAGTTTGATCCTGATGGGCTCAAGGTTGACTCAGCCTTTCATTCTTCTGAGATTGGCCAAAGGAGGACCCAGATTGTTGGGGCCAATAGGCTGACATTGTAAATCACTCAGAGACTGCTGTAAAGCACTATGGAGCAGTATGTAAATCTAAGTGCTATCGCTATTTATTGTTGTTAGCCAACAGACAGAATCTTGCCATATTAAAACAACAATATGCATAACCTTAGATATATTCTGTAAACTGCTAGGGAGGCTTCATCTTTGCCCACTTCCTGCCTATTAGATATTCCAAGCTTCACTGATTCTTTATCCTCTGGAAACAGCCTTTCCCTCCTAGGACTCCAGACTACATTCCACCATACATAGACACGCACACACACACACATACACACACACACACACACACACACACACCAAAGGGGGAAGACAGAAACTCAACACACTCCAGGGGCATCTCCAAAGGGTCAAAAAGTCAAACTGGCAGTTGTGTGATCCAAGCCCTGTCCCCCAGCCTGATATTTTTGACCATCCTGTAGACATCTCTGACACATACACACTGTCAAGACTGATTTGCACTCTCACCTATATTCTGTTTTGCTCACAGCTTGACAAAGGAAAGGGAGGAGGTGGGATGGAATGCAAGGGTAGAGGGAATTGCATCTGGGCATCACCGGTTCCAGTCAGACAATGCTCCAACCCAAGGAGATTTTGAGCAGGTGGATTAGCGTGGCTGCTGGTTCCCATAACAATATGGAAAGAAGTGATTGGTGGACATAATGGATTGTGGGTGGCCCATAGGGAAAAGGGGGAATTAACTATGCTAGCTTTTGTGCGGGAAACCCAGAGCTGGTTTCGCTTTGATTGTGCCAAAATGGTTTATTCAGTAAAGTTTATACTCTTGGTAAAATAATGTCCTAGGAGTTTTCTTTTTCACTAGCTGGATAGAGGGCATGTTGTATATCATTACCTAGAAGAAAATACAGGTGCCTCTTTTGGCCAGTAATGGTAAAGGAATTGAAAAGCATTCCAAAAGCTGTGTTTGGCAAGCTTTGCTTATATTTTCGTTCTGGAATTTCACCCATTACACTTAATGTAAAAGATCCTGCTTGAACTTTGAACATCCCGCTGTAGAAGTCTGATTCAAGTCTAATTGTTTTTGGTGCAACTCAACAGTCACCATTCCACAGAGGACACTTTAATGCTTTACACTAGTGCTTGAGAATCACCGATTTTTATCTAGAATTCTGGGTCAAGATAATATAATGGAGACAATGCTGGATTTCAACCGGAAAGACTGAAGTCCTATGTGTTTCTGATCTCCAGTGCTATTCTTTTGCTCTCAATCTTCTCCTGAGTGCCATTTTTGGTTCTTTCTCCACAGATGACCATGCACGAGTCCAGCTCACTCTCAAGCCAGAAGACCCCTCTTCAGACTACATCAATGCCAGCTACATGCCTGTATGTCTTCGCTATTGCCTTTTTGGGATGAGAAGTTGGCTAAGAGTGCTGAAAAAGTAGATTGAAGCCAATTCAAGTCCCTGAGCTAGTCATGCTGGAACATGTTTAAAACATTCCAGATTAACTCTAAATGCCAAGATGAATAATGTACAATCCTGATATTAGATGTTATATCAAGAAGCCTTTCATAGTTGCTAGTGAATTGCTATTTTTAGTGTGACAGAAGAGATAAATGATTAAATAATGGATCAGGCCATATTCAGAACAGAACAGAACAATGGAAGGGACCTTGGAGGTCTTCTAGTCAAACCCCCTGTTCAGGCAGGAAACCCTATACTATTTCAGACAAATCGTTGTCCAATCTCTTCTTAAAAACCTCTGGTGTTGGAGCACCTACAACTTCTGGAGACCTGTCAGTCCACTGATTAATTGTTCTAAGTATCAGAAAAATTTCTCCTTAGTTCCAGGTTGCTTCTCTCCTTGATTGGTTTTCATCCATTGCTTCTTGTCCTGCCTTCAGGTGCTTTGGAGAATAGGTTCTTTGTAGCAGCCCCTTAGATATTGGAATACGTGTATCATATCATCCCCTAGTCCTTTTCACTAGACTAGACATACAGTGGGGCAAAAAAGTATTTAGTCAGCCACCAATTGTGCAAGTTCTCCCACTTAAAAAGATGAGAGAGGCCTGTAATTGTCATCATAGGTAGACCTCAACTATGAGAGACAAAATGAGAAAACAAATCCAGACAATCACATTGTTTGATTTGGAAAGAATTTATTTGCAAATTATGGTGGAAAATAAGTATTTGGTCACCTACAAACAAGCATGATTTCTGGCTCTCACAGACCTGTAACTTCTTCTTTAAGAGTGTACTCCACTCATTACCTGTATTAATGGCACCTGTTTGAACTTGTTATCAGTATAAAAGACACCTGTCCACAACCTCAAACAGTCACACTCCAAACTCCACTATGGTGAAGACCAAAGAGCTGTCAAAGGACACCAGAAACAAAATTGTAGACCTGCACCAGGCTGGGAAGACTGAATCTGCAATAGGCAAGCAGCTTGGTGTGAAGAAATCAACTGTGGGAGCAATAATTAGAAAATGGAAGACATACAAGACCACTGATAATCTCCCTCGATCTGGGGCTCCACGCAAGATCTCACCCTGTGCGGTCAACATGATCACAAGAACGGTGAGCAAAAATCCCAGAACCACACCAGGAGACCGAGTGAATGACCTACAGAGAGCTGGGACCAACGTAACAAAGGCAACCATCAGTAACACACTACGCCACCAGGGACTCAGATCCTGCAGTGCCAGACATGTCTCCCTGCTTAAGCCAGTACATGTCCGGGCCCGTCTGAAGTTTGCTAGAGAGCATTGGGATGATCCAGAAGAGGATTGGGAGAATGTCATATGGTCAGATGAAACCAAAGTAGAACTGTTTGGTAGAAACACAACTCGTCATGTTTGGAGGAGAGAGAATGCTGAGTTGCATCCAAAGAACACCATACCTACTGTGAAGCATGGAGGTGGCAACATCATGCTTTGGGGCTGTTTCTCTGCAAAGGGACCAGGACGATTGATCCATGTACAGGAAAGAATGAATGGGGCCATGTATCGTGAGATTTTGAGTGCAAACCTCCTTCCATCAGCAAGGGCATTGAAGATGAAATGTGGCTGGGTCTTTCAGCATGACAATGATCCCAAACACACCGCCCAGGCAACGAAGGAGTGGCTTCGTAAGAAGCATTTCAAGATCCTGGAGTGGCCTAGCCAGTCTCCAGATCTCAACCCCATAGAAAACCTTTGGAGGGAGTTGAAAGTCCGTGTTGCCCAGCAACAGCCCCCAAACATCACTGCTCTACAGGAGATCTGCATGGAGGAAAGGGCCAACATACCAGCAATAGTGTGTGCCAACCTTGTGAAGACTTACAGAAAACATTTGATCTCTGTCATTGCCAACAAAGGATATATAACAAAATATTGAGATGAACTTTTGATATTGACCACATACTTATTTTCCACCATAATTTGCAAATAAATTCTTTCCAAATCAGACAATGTGATTGTCTGGATTTGTTTTCTCATTTTGTCTTTCATAGTTGAGGTTTACCTATGATGACAATTACAGGCCTCTCTCATCTTTTTAAGTGGGAGAACTTGCACAATTGGTGGCTGACTAAATACTTTTTTTGCTCCACTGTATCCATTTCCAGCAAACTTTCTTCATATATTTTAGCCTCCAGCCCCCTTATCGTATTTCTTGCTCTTCTCTGCACTCTTTCTAGAGTCTCAACATCTTTTTTACATTGTGGCGACCAAAACTGGGTGCAGTATTCCAAGTGTGGCCTTACCAAGGCATTATAAAGTGGTATTAACACTTCATGTGATCTTAATTCTATCCCTCTATTAATGCAACCTAGGACTGTGTTGGCTTTTTTGGCAGCTGCAGCAATTTCACTATATTTGATCATACATTTCACTACATTTAAACATACGGTGTTAATGACACCAAATGTGCGTGTCCTGGATCCAATTATTTTGATACACCTTTTTTGGGGGGAGGATTTCAGCCCCGCAGCCCAAAAGCCAAATATGATCTCCACCCTGAAAATAGTTGCCTCTCTCCATCTTCCATCACTGATATTACTAACTGGAAGTATTATTTCCATTTGATGCAATATATGTTTGGCCTTCGATATCTAATGTAATTTGGACTCTAGTTTTTTCCCCTCCAAACCTTTCATCTTCACTTAACAAATGCCATTTTGGGAGTCTGCTTTGGCTTCGCCTGTCATATTGCAAAGTAGTAGTCGTAAATGAGCACCACATATCGAAGTGCTTGCTTTTAGGCCAGCTCCTGTAGACGGTCATTTCTAAATTGTGTTCTCCTCTTTGGGATCTATTAGTCTGGGCGCCTATGTACTCCTAATGACTTAATGGGAAGTAATGCGATTTCAGTCCAAGTGCAGGCGCATGAGGAGACATCGCTCTGCCTTTCTGAAACAATTGTTTTGTTGACTTCTCCCGAGTCTCAGAGCAACGTTTCGTTTTGACCAAGGCAGCCTTGAGCATAACATGCAACAGGTTTAGAAATACAAAACTGATTTTAAAAACGAACCAATGTTCTTGTGTGTTGTTGTTGTTAGTTGTGAAGTCATGTCCAACCCATCGCGACCCCATGGACAACGTTCTTCCAGGTCTTCCTGTCCTCTACCATCTTCTGGAGTCCATTTAAGCTCACACCTACTGCTTCAGTGACTCCATCCAGCCATCTCATTCTCTGTCGTCCCCTCCTTCTATTGCCCTCAATCTTTCCCAGCATTAGGCTCTTCTCCAGTGAGTCCTTCCTTCTCATTAAGTGGCCAAAGTATTTGAGTTTCAACTTCAGGATCTGGCCTTCTAAAGAGCAGTCAGGGTTGATCTCCTCTAGGACTGACCAGTTTGATCGCCTTGCAGTCCAGGGGACTTGCAGGAGTCTTCTCCAGCACCATAGTTCAAAGGCCTCAGTTCTTTTGCACTCAGCCTTTCTTATGGTCCAAGTTTCAAATTGATGTGACACCTCTCTCCTCCCAAGGGCTTCAAGAAGGAGAAGGAGTTCATCGCAGCTCAGGGACCATTGCCTGCCACACTCCATGACTTCTGGCGCATGATATGGGAGCAGCGCGTCACAACCATAGTCATGCTCACAAATTGCATTGAGAACGGAAGGGTGAGAATGGCCTTTTGTTTCATCCCCAAGGATGCTCTTGGGAGATGCAATGCTGGGTTTAAAAATGCTTTGCTTTTCTATCACAGAATCCAAATGTCATGGCTGCATCTCACCCATCCAAGCTTCATGAGCTGACACCCGGGGGGGGGGGGGATTTTGTAATGGAAGGGAGAAGGTGAATGGAAGCCCAGCAGAGCCATGTAAGAAGCTCCAGCCAGCCAAGGTCAAGTAACGATATGCAGAGCTGGAAACCAAGCACCTGTTTCCTAAACAATATACAAGCACCTGATTGGACATTTGCAGATAACTGGGGGGGGGAATGGCCAGGGGGGTAGGGGAGAAGAACTTTCCTTTCCTCAGATTTAGCTTACGCTACTTCTGTAATAATTTAAAATATAGTCTTGGCCAGGGGTAGGCGACCTTGGCTCTTTTATGACTCGTGGACTTCAAGTCCCAGAATTCCTGAGCCAGCCATGCTGAGGGGAAAGGGAGAGGTTTCCTGCTGGCTAAGGAATTCTGGGAGTTGATGTCCACAAGTCATAAAAGAGCCAAGGTTGCCTACTCCTGGTCTTGGCAAAACAAATGGCCAGGAGTGTTTCTTTGCTAGATGATTGAGTGGGACAGTTGACACCAAATTTGACAGGCATCTGATAACTTTACCACTTGTCCCCTATGCTACAAATTCCATCAAATGTCCTGTACTCTCCTTCCAATTTTTCTCCTGACCAGGTGAAATGTGAACACTACTGGCCCTTGGACTACACCCCCTGCACCTATGATGATATTACTGTATCTGTTATCACAGAAACCATTCTCCCTGATTGGTCTGTCCGTGACTTCTGTATCAAGCAGGTGAGTGATTGAGACTTGAAGCTGCCTTCTCCTTCTGAGCTTAAAATACAGTAAGAAGCGCTACATGGATCAATCCTTTTCATGTGACTTCCACCTAGAGAGCCCAAGAAATAATACACCATCATTTTCCATGCTCAGGTACCTATGAGAGTCAAAAAGGGACATAGGGGAAAAGAAAGGGAAGTAGGCATGGATGAATATCAAGAATTCCCAAGTACAGAAAAAAAAATCTTACTCCCCCAAATTTGTGTCTTGGTTTTGGGAATATCTGAATTATGTGTTTCTCAGCAGGTGAGCATGTCTGAAGTTCGCCATGCTAAGCATTATCACTACACATCATGGCCAGATCATGGAGTGCCCCAAACCACAGATACCATTCTTCGTTTCCGAGATCTTGTCAGGGAGGACTTAGACAAAATGAAGGATAATGGGCCAGTTCTGGTTCATTGCAGGTACATCAAATGGGAGTGAGAAGGTCTGGGGCAAGAAAAAAAACCAAGGGGAGTGGGGCACTCATTACTCAGATCTTCTCCAATGGATCTGCTCAGAGTCACTCTTCTTTCTAAGCAAGGTGGCAATATTGATTATAATCTTCTCAACTGTGGGACTTGGCTTAAGCCTCCCTTCACTTTCCAATAAATCAAGCACTGAGAAAGTCATAGATCATACTGGTTGGGGATGATGGACGTTGAAGTTCAAGATATCTAGAGGGCCCCAGGCTGAATAAGGCTGATCTAGAATATCTCCCATGGTGTCTGCCTCACTAAATAGACCAGGCTGGAAAATCAATTCCACCAAAAACTAGAGCTATGCTTTATTAAGATAGGCTATAATCTCTACCTTTACTGACACCAAACAACACCAGTTCAATTGGAGCAACACTAAAATCATCGGCCATGCTACCACCTGCAACGCTCATGAGTTCATCGAAGCCCAGCCAATCACAAGCAATTCCATCAACTGACACCTTGACTTACAACCAGCCTACGAACCCCTCAGGACCCAAATCAACCACACAGCCAACCAGAGACAGCACCGACCCTCAACCAACCCACACAAACCCCCTCCTCCCCCCAGCAGCAGCTCCTAATGACCCTGGCCTGAGGTACTGTAACCTCCCCATCACAAGCCTCTCACTGATGACTCACACCTGACCCATCACAAGACCCATCACAAGACCCTCACCTGACACACCCATACCCAAAGCCCTTATAAACAGAAGAATATTGACCCTGACATCTCCTAAACTCCGCAAAAGATGTTACCTAGCCTGGTAACAAAACATTTGGAAACTAACCCACAAGCTTGGAGAAGGAACCTTCACCTTCATAGAATATAATAACAGAATCTTGCAAGCTTGCTTGTGCTTTACCTTCTTCTTATGCTCCAATGAATCAGGAACAAACCAGCCTGAGTGACTTCCAAATGTTATTTTGCTTCCCAGGACTATTTTAGCCCTCTCTGCTTATGTGCATAAGTGTACTGTACATATGCACATTTCTGTCAAAGTCATCTTCCTTAGTCATAACATACATCTAGAGCAGGAGTCCTCAACCTTGGCCACTTTAAGACTTGTGGACTTCAATTCCCAGAATTCCTCAGCCCTCTCTGCTTATGTAACATTCTCGCATATTTCTGTCAAAGTCATCTTCCTTAGTCATAATATCCATCTAGAGCAGGGGTCCTCAACCTTGGCCACTTTAAGACTTGTGGACTTCAACTTCCAGAATTCCTCAACCAGCAAAAGCTGGGAGTTGAAGTCCACAAGTCTTAAGTGGCCAAGGTTGAGGACCCCTGATCTAGATCAGTGTTTCTCAACCTTGACAATTTTAAGGCATGTGGACTTCAACTCCCAGAATTCCACAGCCAGCATTGCTGGCTGTGGAATTCTGGGAGTTGAAGTCCACATGCCTTAAAATTGTCAAGGTTGAGAAACACTGATCTAGAGCATAGTTGAGGTTGTCCATGCCTGATTGCCTCTTTTTTTTCCTTCATTTTTCCACCTTTCCAGTGCTGGGGTGGGCCGGACAGGCACATTTATTTCTCTAGATTCACTCCTGTGTGAAGCCCAGAACCAAGGAGAGATTGGTGTCTTTTCATTTGTTGAGAAACTGAGAAGGAATCGTCCACTCATGATCCAGAATGAGGTGAGAGAATGGAAAACAGTGACATGTAGAAGCAGGGCTTTTTTTTTTTGTCATAGAACGCCCAGAACAGAGTTCCGGTATCTTTTTTGGATGGAACCTTATAGGGTAGGCAAGGTGGGTTGTATTACGTGTGTGAGTTCCAGCACCAAAAAAAGCACTGTGTAGAAGCAGGTCTGATCTATGGGCAAACATCTCTTCTGAAATCTTTAGAGAATTTGTCAGGGAGAAGTGGGGGGGTGGGGAATTACATATGTGCTCCACAGCCCATTTTGAGAGTTCCTCTGGATTTGACCAATATTCCTTCTCATGTTGTACAGTTGGCAGGTACAAGTAGTCCTCAACTTATGACTACCACTGAGCCCAGAATTTCTGTTGCTAAGCAGGACATTTGTTAAGTGAGTTTTGTCCCGTTGTATGATCTTTCTTGCTACAGTTGTTAAGTGAATCACTGCGGTTGTTAAATTAGCAACACAGTTGTCAGGTTTTCCATCTGACTGTGTTTGTCAAAAGGTTGCAAAAAAGTGATCTGGGACACGGCAACCGTCATAAATACAAGTCAGCTGCCAAGCCCCCGAATTTTGATCACATGACCACAGGGATGCGGCAATGGTTGTAAGTGTGAGAAATGGTCATAGGTCCCTTTTTTCAGTGCCGCTGTAACTTTGGACGGTCACTAAATGAACTGTTGTAAGTGGAGGACTATCTGTACTTCTGAGATCCAAAAAGAAGGATTTAAGAAAATGTCCTTGTCTGGCTGTTGCTCCCCAACAAAAGACACTGCAACTTTCTGCAACCTGGATGACCTAATATAAAATCTGACTCCCAGAATCCCTTTAGCCAGCATTGCCCTTGCTAAGAATTGTGGGAGTTGAAGTACATGAAGTATTTTGGAGACTACCCAGTTCTGAAGGTGCCCCTTGTTGAGTTAAGGATACTCTTAATTAATTGACTGACTCAGCTAGCACTCACTTTGCAGTTATTTCAACACCATAAGGGCATTTTTATGTTCTCCTGCCTTTCAAACAATGTTGCCTGAGCCTGGTTTGCTGTATTGTTGCTTCCTTTTTTTTTAGCACATACATGTGCACAGATATGCACATAATTTATATATTTCTTGTTCTTGGAATTGCAGCCTTCCCTATATCTAGTCCTTAAATATGTTTGACAACAATTTTCAACATCCCTATAATCTACATCTGTAAACAACATCAATCTCAAGCCTTAAAAGTCACAATCTCTAATTCTCTATAGACAACAGGAATGCAGTTATTAAGAGATTTACACCTAAAACACACTTTGTGGGCCCACTCATGAGTTCTGGTTTCCTTATCTCGGATTGGTTGAATAAGCTATCCTTCTCATCTTTCCTATTACCTATTCCTTATCTTCTTATGACTATAATTTTGTTGCTTGTATCTTACGATTTATATTGTTTTATTTAGTATTCTAGTATGATTTATGTTGATTGCTTATTTAGTAACCTATGACCATTAGTGATTGTTGTATCTTATGATTTAAGATGAATGTTTTTTCATGATTATATGATTTATCATTTGTTGCTTGTATATACACTAAGAACATATGCACCAGAGACAAATTCCTTGTGTGTCCAATCACACTTGGCCAATAAATAATTCTATAAAGAATTCCATTCTATATTACGTGGATCCATAAAGCTTGTTTTACAAGCAACTATAGCTGTCAAAACTAAACAAAGTTCAGCATGACTGTAAAGTTGATTCATCCTACTTTTAAGGTCCTCTAAACTAGCAGCTAATACAGCAATGACTGATGATCCTTCAGGAAGAGTTCTACTCCTGATAACATTCTGAACACATTCATTTTAGTTTTGTTAACAATAGGACCAAAGGTATTTCAAAGAGGGGGTCAAAGAGGCCATCTACATTAAATTGAACAATTCTGCTTCAACAGAAAGGGAAGGATAGGAGCCCATCTCTCTCCTGTCCACAACACAATCCTTTCAGCAGTCCCAAGAAGGTTCCACGCCCGTTTGCACTCTGATTCAGGGGACCCTGAGGGCACAGATAAACCCCCAATCGGCCTCAACAATCCTCAGAGCTAAGGACTGACCTTCAGAGTGCTAATGTCAGGATGACTGCAAAGAATATAAATCCTTCCATTCCCCACCAGTCAGTTAGAACTGAAGAAATGTTTTGAATGAGAAGTGGAAAATTTTTCAAGGAAGAAAATACACAAGAAAGTCCAGTTGCCTTTTAGAAAAGCATTTTTTGGGACAGTACCAAAGGGACTGCTATTGTCTTTTTCTATGGGGTGCTTTTATTTTCCATCAAGAACTTCCTGGTCATTTTCTATCTAAGTATTAACTATTAACTAAGGCTTTGTAAAGCCTTAGTAAGATCATACCTAGAATACTACATCCAGTTTTGGTCACCACATTACTAAAAAGATGTTGAGACTTTGGAAAAAAGCAAAGAAGAGCAACTAAGATGATTAAAGGCCTGGAGACTAAAACATACGAAGGACAGTTATAGGATTTGGGTATGGCCAATCTAGAGAAAAGAAGAACTAGGGAGGACATGATAGCAGTATTCCAGTATTTGAGAGGTTGCCACAAAGAAGAAGGGGTCAACTTATTTTCCAAAGCTCCAGAGGGCAAGACAAGAAACAATGGATGGAAACTAATCAAGGAGAGAAGCAACCTGGAACTAAGGAGAAACTTCCTAACACTGATAACAATAAACCAATAAACCAGGCTTGCCTTCAGGAGTTATGGGTGCCCACTGGAGGCTTTTAAGAAGAGACTAGACAGCCACTTGTGTGAAATGGTCTCCTGCTTGAGCAAGGGGTTGGACTAGAGGACCTTCAAGTCCCTTCCAGTTCTATTCTGATTGATTGGACTCATCTTGTTTAACTCCCAAGCCACTCAGTTGGTGCTTACATTTACTGTGACAAGATAAAGCTGCCTTGAAGTTGAGCTCTAGTCCTGGCGACTGCATCAATACATCTATTTTGTTATCTTGGCAACAGGAAAGAAACTGTTTGCCATTGTCTTCTTGCAGTATTAATTTTTCAGCACTCAAAGGCTAGCCTGCTGCCGTGAAATTCTCTGTTGATCTCCCAGTGCCAATAGTTTTTGTTCTGACCTCCCAAGCTAAGTTACAGCCATGGATTTTTCTGGTGATCTTCCAGGACCAATTACTACTTCCAGGTCCGATCTGGCTTAGCTTTTTGAAATCAGGCCAAGTCAGCTGGGCATTTCCCCCCAAGCTGGGCAAACGGTATATGGTCTGGCAGGAACTGGGGTACATTTGAATCAACTCCCAACTGAGCTTGCCATATGCATAGCTGTACAAACAGCCACATTTCCCAGTGCGATTTCTGCATCACTGGGCTGTGTGTGTGTGTGTGTGTGTGTGTGTGTGTGTGTGTGTGTGTGTTTTAACGAATTGGCCAACACCTCTGACCACCGCTGATGTTCCTGTGGGACAACTCAAATCAATTGTTTATGCCATGCCTCTCTCTCTTTCCACAGGATCAGTATGTCTTTCTGCACCAGTGTCTCCTGGATGGGATCCAGTCTGCTTCAACAAATGCCGGGATGATCCAGGAACATCCTGCTGTCTATGAAAACATCTTGGCTATGCAAGACTATGAGGTCTCCCGGGTGTGAGAAGCTTGCCTTTATCCAGGCAAGAAGATGCCTACCTTCTATAGATTGCAAAAACATTGCCCTTCCGCCCAAAAAGATTGAGGCATTCCCTCCTCTCCGAATTTAACTTCCATGTTTTAAATGGAGTAAATTTGCAAAAGCAAACTTCCGAGACTGTATAGGCAGTTTTTTTCTCTGAAATAATTAATTATCAAAATAAAAAGATTCCCAGTGATTCAGAGCCTCCCTTTTAGCCTCAAATAATAGTTCCGTCAATTAATTAAGTAAACATGACCGCCTTTAAAAAAAATTGTTGGCATACAAGATGACTAAGACAAAGCCACGATACAAAACTGAATCAAACACACTAAGTAACCTTTGAATCACGGAGAACTGAAATATGAATGTCTTACTTTATCATATTGTGCACAGTAAACATTTTTTCCCTGTTGACAATGAACTCATGTTCTTGATGTACACAATAGTTTGTCTACTCCTTTGCCCCAGCCATCTCATCTCTCACATCACTGTTCTGGGAATTGGGAGGAGAGGATGGGGGAGGGTAGCAATTGTAGCATAACAGCAGAGTTCTTCCTCCAATTATATACTGTGTGAAAGCTGGACCCCAAAAGAGATTAAGACTGAAGCACACAGCCTGGCTGAATTATTTGGTTGCCTCAGCAACCTGAGTGTCAGCTCCACAATGTTGCCATGGAGAACTGTCACACACATACATTATATATACATATACATATATGTGTATGTATGTGTGTGTATGTGTATACATATACATATAGGAAAGCTATGGCAAATCTAGACAGCATAATGAAAAGCAGAGACATCACCCTGCCAACAAAAGTGTGTATAGTCCAGGCCATGGTTTTCCCAGTTGCAATGTATGGCTATGAAAGTTGGATCATAAGAAAGGCTGAGTGCAAAAGAATTGAGGCCTTTGAACTATGGTGCTGGAGAAGACTCCTGTGAGTCCCCTGGACTGCAAGGTGATCAAATCAGTCAGTCCTAGAGGAGATCAACCCTGACTGCTCTTTAGAATGCCAGATCCTGAAGTTGAAACTCAAGTACTTTGGCCACCTAATGAGAAGGAAGGACTCACTGGAGAAGAGCCTAATGCTGGGAAAGATTGAGGACAATGGAAGAAAGAGACGACAGAGAATGAGGTGGCTGGAGGGAGTCACTAAAGCAGTAGGCGTGAGCTTAAATGGACTCCAGAAGATGGTAGAGGACAGGAAGACCTGGAGGAACGTTGTCCACACACAACGCGCGCACACACACACACACACACACACACACATATATACACATACGCACACACATGCGTTTGCGCACACACATATACACATATATGTGTGTATATATGTATATACACACACCACACACAGAGAGACACACACACACATATGCACATACATTCAGGTGTGGATGTATGCTCTTTTGGGGAGAAGAGAAAAAGCTACTGAGGCCTTGCAATTGAAAGGAAGGTAAAGTGCAGGTAAGAATGGTGGGACAGGAAAGAAACTGCGTTGAATTTAGATCCCAATGCTGATAAATCAAAGAGGTATGAACGCCCTTGAGTTTGGTGCTGGGATACAGGATTCTTCTTCTTCCTTCTTCCTTCTTCCTTCTTCCTTCTTCCTTCTTCCTCCTCCTCCGCCTCCTCTTCCTCCCTAGTGTTATTTCTGCACCATGGCAGGGTCTGCTTGGGATCCAGACTTCTTAGAGTTGCTAAAGAAATGAGAAGATAGAAGGCTGGAAGCTAGCCCTAAGCTTTGGGAGAACAGTGGCATTTGTCTATCAGGATACTTATAAATGAGTAATAGAGAGCTGACAGTTTTCAGATGGTATTAAACTTCAGTTTTCATCAGCCCTAACCAAAATGATCAATGGGTGGAGATGATTAAATAACAAGCTTCAAAAGGGAGGGGGGAAGTGGGTGAGGAGTCCAAGGTTCCCTTACACAGACTTACACTTTAAATACATGAAGGGTAGAACCAAATTCTTGTGCATTTTCCTTCTGGGTTTTTGAAAGGAAAAGCAGCTAGTGGTTTAGTAGAAAGATGGGTCTCTGTGTGTATGCTATTGACAAAACTAAATGCCAAAAACCCACCTAACTTTAATTTTATTATGCAGCGAGACAGGAATATTTGCTGGAAGAGTTGCTTACTCCACAGGAGGGCAGCAATGCCTCTCTCTGTCTCTCTCACTCACACCCACCCACAACATGGATACATACAACCCTCTTTTATTCCACATTGCAATTCTGTCCATCTTTGTTCCATCTCCCGCTGCTGCACAAGCCCATTAGCAACAGTACACATGATTCTTCCTCATAAGTTATCATTCCCACCCACTTCAAAGAGACCCTCTTCTCCTTAATATTCTGCCTCTTTCACAGAATGACCCACACTTCTTTTTATTTGTACAGGTGTGAATAGCTGTACCTTTCCACTTCACTAGCACATGATCCATTCCATTATGAAAGCACACACCCACTACACTTGAGATGAGCCTTCCCACTATTCTACAAAAAAAAAGCCTTATTTTGGTCATTCAGCTTGTCCTAAATTCCTTACATTCATTCACTTGCCTCCTTTATACATTTCATGCATTTGTGACAAAATCTCCCTCTCTAATTACCTTGCCCCATAAAGTGTCACCTGTTCTTCTTCTGGTACTTTGCATTAATACTGTACATCTGCTGCAAAGATCAGAATCTTAAAAGCACAAAAAGGAAAGGAAGACAGACAAAGGAATCCAAAATCCGCTGGAAGTAGATTTCCAAACATCCAAAAACAATTGCTTGAAAGAATACAACTGCTTTCAAGTTTATCATAGAGTGCAGAGGTGGGGAACATCTCCTCAATTGTTTTTGCATGAAGATTGTCCTTGTTTAGCAACCAGAATTGGGACCGGAAGCTCCATTGTTAGGCAAAGGGGTTGCTAAGTGAAGCTGTGACTGTGCTTAGGATCTTACTTCAGCTTTCCTTTGCTTTACAGATCCTTTATAGCCAATACTTTACAGACATTCATAGGTCTGTAAAGCATCGGCTATAAAGTTAGTTTTTCATCACTGTCATAACTACAAATGGTGATTCAATGAGGCAATTGCTCTCTGTTTTCAGTGTTTGACATCCTATGACCAGCAAATAGTGCTTGACTGGAACTGGGCATGGCTAGTCTAGTGAAAAGAAGGACTAGGGGTGACATGATAGCAATGTTCCAATATCTAAGGGACTGCCAGAAAGAAGAGGGAATCAACCTGTTCTCCAAAGCAAAGATCCACAACTTTTTGGGCACCAGGGACCAGTTCTATGGAAAAAGGTTTTACCACGGACCAGAGAGTGTGTGGTTTTGTGTGCTGCCTGCATCCCACGGATGGGGCTTTGCTTGTTTGTGTGGACTGGTTGTTGGCATGCTGCAACTTGGTACTGGTCCACAGCCCGGGGGTTGGGGACCCCTGCTCCAGAGCACCTGAAGGCAGGACAAGAAGCAACGGATGGAAACTAATCAAGGAGAGAAGCAACCTGGAAATAAGGAGAAATTTCCTGACAGGTAGAACAATTATTCAGTGGAACAATCTGCCTCCAGAAGCTGTGGGTGCTTCATCACTGGAGGTTTTTAAAATGAGATTGGGCAACCATTTGTCTGAAATGGTTTAGGGTTTCCTGCTTCAGCAGGGGGTGGGACTAGAAGACCTCCAGAGTTCCTTCCAACTCTATTATTCTCTTATTCTGTTATTCTGGCTTTCATTTCCAATACTTCTGACTGCTTGGCCAATTATGAAAACTGGATCAAGAGTTTCATATATGAACTCTTATGAATATATTTTTCCTCACTAATATTCACACACTTACCACAGACAAGCATGCAGATTTGTTCACTCACACAACTGCACCATGCAAGTCTGATAAATGGATATAATATATCTGTTTCTCATTCAGTTTTGTGGGGTTGAATTCCAAGTGTTTGGACAGTGCGTCTATATACAGTATGACTATGGTCCACCACTATCATGCATACATAATTTTTGCTGGTTTTAATGTCCTTGCTTTCTCCACATAAGGAGCTCTCCTACAGCATATATTTTTGGGAGATGGCAGATACCAAAAATTCTCCAATGAGATTCTCAATATCACCTTCTGGATGAAGCCAAGTGATTCAGAATGGAAATTGAAATTATTGGAAGTTTGGGCTCTGGGTGGATTTGTCTCTTTTCTCTAGCAAGGTCACAATCTGTTCCTGTTCGCTCTTTTGTCACCGAGATCTAGATTGGGATGCCCAAAAGAATGGGCGTACTATTTGTTTATATAACCCCACTCCCTCAATTTCTTAGAGCATCCCTATCAAGAAAGATCATTCTTTGTAATCACAGACATACAGTATGAATGCTTGTGAGGCTGTGAGACCTTTGACCCTTGTGATAAGTACATAGATAAGTGTATAGGAGTTATGCAGATATTAATACTCAATGGTGTCGCAGGAAGGGAAATATAGAATGCATCAAAATAGTACTGTCCACCTTTCTTTAAGATGGACAAAGAGAAAGATATACAGTTGTTACATTAAGTTCATACCTCTGTGTACAAAGCTTTACATGACTTCCATGCCCTCTTCCAGGATGGAGGTGTCTTCAACATAACTTGCAATTCATAGACCTTTTCCCCACATCTCCACACAACAGAGACACAGACACACACCCCTCCACCCCTGCCTTTCTTTAGCCTTCTCTCTAACCCCACCTTTTCCTTCCTAGCTCCACCCCTTAGCCAGCAACATTTCAGAACCACGAACCGTGGACAGCTCCGTTGGAGAGCTTTTTTTTTTTAAAGACAACAACAATAAAAATAAGCCAACGATTCTTGTTCCTTGGCCGCTGCTCCTCTTTAATTCTGCTTTCGTCTCGCCCAGCTTTTTGATCTGTCCAGCACAATCGCCACTCCTGCTGGGAAGGGGAAAAAATGGGTAAGAGGCGCCCCTTTGGGACTTCGGTTTTTTTGGGAAGATCTGCCGCGAGCAAATGGGTGGGTTTCCTAGGGTTGAACTGTCTATTCAACCTCCACGTTTTGCGTTGCGGGATAGAACTGAGGCGTTTGTTGGCTTGGCGTTTTCCGATCGGGTCGAGGAGGGAGGAAGAAAGGGAAGATCGGGAGATCACCGGACCCCTTCCCTGCAGGGGAAGACGATCCCTCGGATCTGAGGAAACAAAGGCAGGTGTTCTGCTCCGTGTACAACGCTTCAAGAAAGAGAAAAATCCTGGGTGGGCTTTTAACTTGTGAGTGTGGTTGCATGTCTGCTTCTCTTGCACAAGCGGTGCCTAGTGGAGAGGGCACCTCAGAGGTGCATCATTTTGGTGCCCAGGTGGAATCAGGCTTGCACTGAAGGGGGGAGGGGCACAACTGAGAATTGGCAGCACCCAACTCAGGTTATTCCGTC